ATACATTACATTTAATGCATGATGCATCACATGGAGCAGTTGGAAATAATGAAAAATGGTGGTGGTTTTTTGGTAGATTGACATTAGATTATATTTCAGGATCATCAATGTTAGCATGGTAAAATTAACATGTTATTGGACATCATTAATATACGAATATAATGGGATCAGATCCAGATATTCCATAATTAAAAGAAGGAGATGTTAGAAGACTTGTAAAAGAATAAATCTGGTGTACTATGTATAAATATTAACATTTATATATGCCAGTACTTTATGGTTTATTATCTCTAAGATCTAGATATTATGATGTTTTTGAAATATTCTTAAAAGAAACTGATGGACCTGTTAAAGTCAATCCTATTTCTTTATAAGATAAATTGAGATAAGCTAGTAGTAAATTACTTTGGTTATTTTGGAGATATTATTTACCTGTTTGTGTATTTGGAATGACTTAAGCATAATTTTGGTTCCTTTTTATTTATGTAGAATTTATAACTGGATATTGGTTAGCTATAAACTTTTAAGTTTCTCATGTTTCAGATGAAGCTGAATTCTTTTATAATAATATGGATAAAGTAGCTAAAAATGGTACAAATGAATAATGGCCAATTGAATGGGCAATTCTATAAATTAAGAGTTCAGTTGATTATAGTCATGGTAATTGGCTAATGACATATTTATGTGGAGCTTTAAATTATTAAGTTATTCATCATCTATTTCCTGGAGTAAGTTAATATTTATATCCAGAAATTGCTCCTATTGTTTTAGAAGTTTGTAAAAAATACAATCTTAAGTATAATCTACTTCCTGGATTCAAGGAAGCCTGGAATGGACATTTCAATCACTTAAAAAATATGGGCAAATTAAAAAAATTTGTTGGTTTTGCTAAAATGGAATGATTTAGAATTGAGCAATAACAAATATTATTACATCAATTAAATAACCAATCCTTACTTACATAAAATATTAAATATTTAACACTTAATTTATTATTCATTCTTAATTACATACTTATGTTACAAATTTATATGCTTTCTATGTTTCTCAAATTATTTACAGATAAAGTATATATCTAAAAATAATAACAATATCAACATAAGAAAGATGAATTGAAAATTTATAAATGGTGATAAATTTTTCAGAAAGTATTTATATATTATGAAGTGTTTATTCTGTATATAGATATTAGAGATTAATAATTTAAAAAATACATTTTCTAAATAATATTATATATCATTAAATCAAATTTTCTTTCTCTAATGATCTAACTTTTGCTGTTGAATATTACCATAATGCATCGATTTCTTTATCATTTAAGTTTTTGGTTTCTTTTACAAATATTGCAAAATAAATTGTTGCTACTCCCATTGTTATTCCAAAGTAATAAAATGTATAACACATACCAAAAGAATCTCTAATGACTGGAAATAAAAATGTTATAGTTATATTGAATGACCATTAAAAAATAAGAGCAACTGTTAAATAAATTCCTGACAGAATTTCAGGTGTATATAGAGGAATAATAGCTCCAAAAGTGTTGAAGAACACTCCAAAATATAAATAAATTGCTATAACTATATAGACTACAACAACAGATTTTAATTTTGTATCATTATAATCTGAATTATCATTGATAGCTGAACTTATACCAGTGCTGATTAATACAACACAAAGGATTCCTGTTCCTATTATTAAAGGTTTTCTTCTTCCAAATTTTTAAGTCAATTAAGCTCCTGTTGAGTAAAAAATGAATTTTATTATACTCATTCCTATTGTTAATATTTAAGCTACAGTCATAGTAGTAACCTATTGAAATATTTTTGTGGAATATGAAATAATGGGAGTGATACCAGAATTGGAATAAAATATGTTAATCATAATTCCTAAGAATACTCTTAAGCCTGGTAAAGTTTTTTCAACATTTCTTTTATTTACTAAATTTTCAATGTCTTATTTTATTTATTATACATCATCATCCTAATAGATATGAACAAGAAATCTTTCTGCACCCTAAACTAATTTAAATATAAGTTTATACCATTTCCTTTTTAAATTGAAAATATTGGAGACTCATAAGGAAAATAAAATTTCAATAGGAGACTTCTAATAATGCAAATGATTATTGGAGGTAAAAGATAAAATCTCCAATAACTCATATCAACAGATGTCTATCCTTTAACTTCTTTGAAACCCAAAGCACAAAAAGATTAAACAATAGTTCCTAGAGATAATCTATATATATTTAATACATACAATACAAGATTTTATCCTCCTAAGACTCCATAAATTTAAGTAGGAATGATTTCTTTCAAAAACATTGGCGTCACTAGAGTTGTTAACCCACTACCTATTCCTGCAATTACTCGAAATAAAATAAATGTATAATAGTTTTGAATATTTAATCCTGCAGTCCCAATAATCAATAGAGTATCAATAATATATAGCATTAATCTTCTTGATGTAGATTTAACTATTAGAATTCCAATAATGCATCCAACCAATCCACCAAAATTAAAGGAAGTCATCATAGCACCTTCCTTAAAAGAAGTATCAATATCAATCCATATTCTTATATGATCTAAGGGACCATTTATTAAATAAGAATTATAAGCAAAACTAAATGTTGCTAATGCGACACTATACGTCATAAGTAAACATTGTTAAAATGATTTATATGACATTATGATATTAAATATAATATTCATTTAACCTATCTGTTTTGATATAATTCATAGTAACTCTCAATTACCAGAATAAGTCCTAAAAGTGACAAAAATCCAAAAAGATTGAATGATGCTATTTTACTCCAGTGATCCTAAAATACTGAAATTTATATATGATATCATATTTAAACTACTATCTAAATTTAGTATAAGCATATTTATTTAGAAAATATAATGCTCCAGTATTCAATCCAATAGATTCAACTTCCTTAACATAATTAAAAAATATATTAACTTTTTGGATTCTTAGTTCATTAAAAAGCATCCTTTATTTTTAGACTAAAAATAATTAATAGCAATGTATTTTTTGAGCCTTTATCAAATAAAAATCATAAAAGATAGATCCTATCATAATTACTAAATATGAAATTCGAAAAAGGGCTTAAGTCTATTGATTAATAAATATGGAATATTAATACTTAAATACTAGCTTATTTATATGCTTCATCTCCATCTAAGGTATCATAAACATAGTAAAATAGAGTTTAAGAATTTTTTTACATAACCTTAAAATACCCACATATATTTTCTAGCTAATAAAGCAATCTTCATTGCTGTGCATGATATCTCTGGATATAATTTTATATTTCCTTTAAAAGTACTTCCTCTGAGGGTAAATTTTTTTAAAAAGTTCAATATAATTCTTAATTTTATTTAATACAAAATTATGATTTTATTCTGCTAATATCATTTTTTTTTAAATCAAAAACTTGACAAGTTTCATTTTAAAGAATAATATATTAAGATTTATTTATGTTTATTACCATGTATTCATTTTTTAACTGTAGAAAGAGTTACTAATATATAAATATTAAATTATGAATACTAGAAATGGTTGTTCGTAATTTCCAACTCTCTTACAAATACTGACTTATATTCTCTATATTTTAATTGTTATTATGACATACATTCATACACTAATTTTAGAGGAATATGTAAAATGATAACCATATATATAGTTTGTACATGATATAATTTTATCATTTTTTGTTTCAATCTCATGTTATTTTTTTATCAAAACAACCATAAGTGATCCCACAGATTGTTATGTCATTTAACAATAAAAAAATAGAGGGTATTTTAAGTTTAGAAAATTTAGAAAAGCCTTTGATTATGAAGAACATCAACTCACATAATTTTGTGATCTTTGCATTGCTTATGTTAAGGAAACAACAAAACATTGTAAATAATGTAATAGGTAAATTTAAATTTCTATTAGATGTTGCGAAGACTTTGATCATCATTGTAGATGGATCAACAATTGCATAGGTGGAAAAAATTATAAATAATTTATAGGAATGATTGTATTTACATTCTTAATCATTTTGTATTCCATCATTGTTAATATAAGAGTAATTAACTAATACAATAAGTAAGAACTATAAACATTAACTGTAAATATTTTCAGAATATTAAAGATCTATTCTAAATACTAAAATTCTATGTTAATAATAGCACTTATTTTTTTAGTTCTTGAAATAATTACCTCAATATTTCTAGTAAAATTAATTGTATTTCATGCATATCTTTATAGAAAAGGTATTTCTACATACGAATTTATAATTTAAAAAAGAAATAATTAAGTTTAGCCTTCTAATTCTTCTGAATTTAATATCATCAATAATTAAGATAGTAAAATGGATATTATTAAGAATAATTAAGAATAGGAGGATCAATGTACAATTTTTAGAAAAGAAAAATAAAACAGTCAAATTTATATTAATTAAGTGATGATAAAAAAGGATGAATCCATTAATTCATCAAAGAAAAATAGTTAGAATATATAAAAGAAACAATAACTGACATAAGGAGAGAGTGACGATTCTCAAAAAGAAGGTGTAATTCATTTTTAGTCTTAAAAAATTCAAACAAATATAGATACTAGATTACAAAAGCATTAATTAAATAATATTGATGTTAAGATACCAAAAATAACTTAATTATAATGAATTACTTATTATAAATATTTGACAAAATTATTTTGGTAATTATTAATCAAAATCTTTTTTCTATTAAAGCTTGTTGACGCCAACTTTCACTGAATTCATTCATTTATGCCATAAATTCATCTTGATAACCTTTAAGGACTTTGTTTTTAATGGGTTTAAGATTGAGTGAGAGCCCTTTTTTTAAAATTGGTTAGTTTAACGTTGAAGGATCAACTGAGATAGAAATGTATATTAAAATATTTACCAAAAGGAAAAGAGTCTTCTTCTGAACTATACTTGATTTATTCTTCATCTACAGCTTCATTCAAATCATGTTTTATTTTACAAGTCTCTACATTGTCTTAATATTAAGTTTGTTTTTAAAATCCAATAATTTTATATTAATCTTTTTTTTTTAATCTGAGAGTATTTAAAATGTGTTAAAAGTCTTCGCTTCGAGTTCTTTATTATTATAAGGGAATCGAAATTTTTTATTTTTAAAGTTCTTAATTTTTTGTTTCTAACTCTTAAATGAGATTTAAAACATGTTAGGATAGACTATCAATATCAGATTGAATTTTGTTTGCCAACAGTAAAAAACTTTTTTTCAATTCAGAAAAGAGAACTATTTTTAAAGGTTGTTCACGTTGTTCCATTCTATCAAGAATTTGTAGATATGAAGAGAAAGTGTATTAGTTGAAATTGGCACATTCATTTGCTAAACTAGACTCAAGTACTTTACTTTGATTAGTAATATTTATACATATTTTTGAATTCTTAGAAGCTGGAAGCATCTTCACATGTGTTATATTATCTAATTCTTTTGGCTATTTTTTCTTTGATATTAGAAATTGCACTATTATGATTAGGTGAGTATAATCCTTAACATACAGAATTGAGTAATCGTTAATGTAATTGAGAATAATGATAGTTATTGGTTTTAGTCATTGAAAGATTAGGACTAGAACGATGAAAGTTCTTCTAGGATTATCTATGTATTTTAGTAATAATCTAATCCATATGAGAAGTCTTATTCATTAATTAAATAATGAGTAGATATCCATAAGTGTTTTTAGATTTTCAAATAGGTACTTAAGCAGCAGGTAGAGTGATTTTTGAATTGTTTAATGATGTAACACCTAAAACAGCTGAAAACTTTAGAGGACTATGTACTGGTGAATATGGTAATGTAGGAATGGCAAGAAAGACAAAGAAATTACATTATTTGAATACAAATGTATTTAGAATAGCAGATAATATGTTAATATAAGGAGGAGATATAATAAATAATGATGGAACTGGAGTAAAATAATTTAAAAATTTAGGGTGCATCAATATATGGTTAAACATTTGTAGATGAGAATTTTTCAAGAAGACATGCATGTGCAGGTTTATTATCAATGGCAAATAGAGGAAGAAATACAAATAATTCATAGTTTTTTATAACATTAAAACCATGTCCACATTTAGATGGAAAACATGTAGTATTTGGATAAGTTATAGATGGAATAGAAGTAATTAAAAGAGTAGGTTAAGTACCTGTAGATATGTAAGATAGACCTAGAATTCCTGTTATTATTATTAATTGTGGCGAGGTTTCTGAATAAAAAAACTGGTTAATATGTGATCCTTTTAAAAAAGAGATTATGGAGGAAATTCATAGAGAAAGATTAAAAGCATTATATGGATAAGAATATTTGGATGAATTAGATAAAGAGGAAGAATAAAGAGAATTAGCATTGAATCCTGAAAAGATTAAGTAATCTAATTAAGAAAATGAAGAGGAATAAAAGAAATAATTGTTAGTTGATGAATTATTAAAGAAGTCTACAGAAAATTAAGAAGAAGAAGAGGAAGAAGAAGATGCTGAACAAATATTGTAATAATTTGAAGGAAAAGAGTTTATGACTGAAAAACATAAACAGAGATATTTAGAATTAAAAAAAAAAATATAATAATCTAAAGTATTAAATGATAAAGCAGTTTTAAATGAGGAAAGATAAAATACAGATGCTTAATATGATAAATATTTAAGAAAGAAAAAATATCTAATGAAAAAGGAGGCAGAAAAATAAGAATTAGAATTTAAATAAATTGATGAGGATAAAGATTATTTAAATAGATTGACACTTAAACATGATGAAGAATAGGAAAAAAAAAAAGAATATTTTGGATGGGATGTATTTAATGAAGATGCTGTATATAATGCTTATAAGAAAAGATGTACTTCTTTAGCAAAAGATGAAGGAAAATATAAATAATAAATGGGTATATTTATTAATATTTAATTTTCAGAAAAGAATCAAGAGTTTGTACCTACAAATGAAGCATTAGAGAGACTTAGTTCTGATATAACGAAATAATAAGACAAAAGAAAGGAATTTTCAAGAAGAAGAAGATTTAATGAAGATTAACCTGTTACTTATATTAATGAAAGAAATAGAATATTTAATAAAAAATTAGAGAGATTCTTTGGAGATTATGCTGCAGATATTAAAGCTAATTTAGAAAGAGGAACTGCATCTTGATAAAATATTATATTTTATTATACAATTAAGGGTCAAATATTAAATAAATATCAAAAATGCAATCAAGCTCTTAAAGAAATCTTTTATTAACTAGTCCTATTAAGTATTAGAATTCCATTAAATATAACTAAACTCCAGATGAAACAGGAAAATAGAAATAATACTTTATTAAGGATAAGGAAGCAATGTTTGAAGAAATTCAATCTCTCAAATAAAGCAAAAATCAGTTGTTTATCAATATTAAGAAACTTTAAGCTTAAGTTCAATATTACAAGAAAGAAGCTATGTACAAAGAAGATAGTAGTCCCCTTAAAAGTTCATCCAGATTCAAACAATTATATTAAGAGAGAATTGCTAATCTAGAGGTTTTTATAAATAAAATTCTAAGCAAGAAAATTCTAAATTGCATCTACAATTAGAAGAAATATAAACGTTTGTGAACTAACTCAAAAATCCATTAAGTTAATCTAATTTAGAACTATTTTCATTGTAGTTACAAAATGATAATCAACAATTAACTTAATTAGTATAAGATAAATAAAATGAAAATGATGAACTGAAAGTATTATTATTTATTATTCTAAGAAAGTAAACAATAAATTAACCATCAAATTTAATGCTTCATTAATTCAACAAAATAAACTCAAAGCACTTAATAATTAATTATTATCAGAAATTAATGATTTAAAGAAAAAACAACATCTTTTTGAAAGTCGGATTTCTTAAAAAGAAATTCCTAGAGTAGATGAAAAAATTTTAATTGAATTAGAGTAAACGAAATTAGAAATTAGAAAATTTTAGCAACAATTAAAACAATAAGAATAATTATTTGCTAATTAATTATAATTAGAATAAGATAAGATAGAGAAGTTAGAAAAAAGAAATAAAGAACTTTAAAAAAATATTACAATGTTAGAAAATATGTATGAATAAGAAAAAGTCAATTATTAATAATTATAATAATCTTAAAAGTTTATAAGAAGAACTGTTATTCTGAAATCTATTTAACCAGAAGAGCCAGAAAAATATATTGAATAAGAAACTAAACTTAGAAGATTAGGTTAAATTGAAAAAAGTGAAGTTTTACCAATTGCAAAGAAAATTAGATTAAATTTAATAGCCTAATAAATTTCTTTGAAATAAGTGGAAGAATATCTTCTTACTAATGAGACTTTAACTTTATAATAATTAGAAGAGAATTTAAGTCATAATGTTTTTGGATTAATGGAAGACGAAGAAATTTCCTAATTAGCTACATATTTGGCAGATCTTGAAAATGATGAAATTGAAACTTCAGCTTTAAGGGTTAAAAGTATATTTAAGAATTTAATGGATAATTATACTATATTGAGTAACAACTAATTATAAGCAATCAATTAGAGTATTTAAAATAAACGAAGTTAAATAAATGAATATTTAACAAAGAAATATCCATAAATATTTACAAGTGGATATATTAATATTAATGTAAGATTATAAATAATTATAAAGTAATATTTGGATACCTTATAGAATCTAGAAATTTAATTAAACAAAAATGAAATTGATCATTTAATTGCTTTGATTACTAAATACAATAGATAACCAAGAGTATTATTATAATAAATTCATGCTCCTTTTTTTATTTGTAATGAGCCTAATTCTGATGATGATGATTCAACATTTAATTAACCTGCACCGTAATTACATAATCCTATGTAATTTTCAGAAGATGAAGAATAATTGAGTGTTCTAGACATAAAGATGTGTAATTCATAAGAGTTAAGAAAAAAGAGTCATACTGAACTACCTTAATTTTGATTCTTTATATATATATAATGGAAAATCGTTTAGAAAAAAATGTCAACAAATTAATTGAACGCTACAAAAAAACAAGTCAATAAATAGACTAAATGATTTAACCAGAACAAATCATTTCTCAACCAATTACTCTCTATTAAACAAGATCTCGACAAAGTAGAACTAATTTTAATGATGAGTAAATCTTTAATCTTCACAGTATAGGGAGAGTTCATCAAGGGAAAAAAAGAATCATTCTATTGAATAAATTAGCAGACTTAGAGAAACCTTAAATGCCAAAGAAATATAAGAAAAGGAAAAATAAGAAAGATTGAAGATTTTGAATAAAGAATTAAAAGTACTCTTATTTATTTCATTTAGATGACATTAAAAGATTATATGTAAGCAAATAAAGATTTAGAAGTTAAAGTCAATCAAAGAGAAAAGCATATTAAATAATTAGAATTTGAATTAAAATCTATTTAGGATTCTTTTTCTAGAGTAGAAAATAATGTTAAGGAAACTAAATTAAAGTGTGATGGTTAAGATAAACTAATTGAGGATTTATAATAATAATGTCATGTTTCACATCAAAAATTACTATTAAAAAAAAATAAAATATAAATGCTTAAAGAATAGCTTAAACAATAGGAAGCTTAATTTGATGATCAAGGTTTAAATTTTGGTAAAGAATTAGAACGAGTTTAAAAATTATGTGAAGACTTTTCATCTGAAATGTAAAATTTAATAATATTAATTAGTAAAAATTAAGAAGCTTAAAATAGAGAATTGGAAGAAGAAAAAATGTAATTATTAGATGATAATTAATAAAAAGAAGCTCAAATTAGATATTTCGAATAATTAGTATAAGATTTTCGATATAGAGATGATGATAACTAATAATAAATTGACTATTTAAATTAAGAGTTACAATATTAAAAAGCATAAACTTAATAATATTTAATACAATTTGAAGAATGTTAAGAAAAATTAAATTTAATTTCTGAAAACACATAAACAACTATTTTAAACTATGAATAAGAATAAAAAAAAAAGAATGAATAATAGGAGGAAATCCTAATTAAAAAGAAAAAAAAGCTGAGTGAATAAAAACATAGAACTGAATAACTATAATAAACAATATTTGAATTATAAAGAAAATTAGATAATGATGATAAAAATATATAAATTCAAGATTATGATCTCAAAAAATTATAATAAATTAATAATGAATTAAAACAGATAAGTGACTAATAAACATAAAAATTATATAATAATGAAGAGAAAATTTAACAATTACTTTTAGAATTATCAGAATAAAAATAAATTAGTTCAAATTAATTAAGTTAAATAAAATAGTTAGAACTAAAATCTAAATAAGATGAAAGAATTATTGAATAAGTAATGTTGTTCTGTTAATAATTATTAGCTCAAAGATGATATTCAAAACTTATCTGATTCACTTATTTAAGTTTAAGATTACAATAGAAGTTTAGAAAAGGAACATTTAGATCATAAATTATAGCATGAAAAATAAATGGATGAAATTGAGAAAAAGATTGACAATCTTGTTGATTCAGCTTTTAATGCAAAAGAAGAATTAAAAGAATAAAAATAGAGAGAACATGATCTTAAATAAAAACTAAAGTTATAGGAATCTGAGACTGAAAAGCAATAGCAAAAGAGTTAGAAATATAAATAATAATTGTAAAATCTTAGATAAACAATAAAGAATGTAAAAATTTTTATGTATTTAGTTGGAAGATAAATTCAAATAATATGATTGTTAGGCTTAATAAATTTCAATTAAATCTTAAAAATAGGAAGAATTGTAGAATTAATAAAAATTAAAAGTTTTAGAAGATATTTAGTCATTAATCAAATTACATAGAAAATTTTGAATATGAGCCATAATATATATTTATAAAAATAATAAAATTTTATGCTCTAATAAGATTAAAAAGACAATATTTCTTTTGTAAACATATATTTTTGACCTTAATTTTGATGATTTGTCATACTTTGATTATTAATCTGTCTTTTATGTACAATTAAATTTTTATACTAATATTTACAGAATAAATCTTGGAATTTATTTTATGATTAAACAATATTAAAATTACAAAAGGAAAATGAACCCTTAAGATCATTAAAACTAATTAGCATAAAATTATAGATGTCTATAATTTTTCCCACATTACTATAATCAAATGCCTTGGCAATACCAAATTTAGCATTCTTACCAATACAACCATCATCAACTAATGTTTTATCAAAGATAAATTCCTTCTGTTGTAATGCCAGATCCATAACAGAATCAAAAGTAATAATAGCCAAAAGAAGTTATAACAATTTCAAGTGATGAAGAGAAAGTGCCTAAAAAACCTTAAGAACAAGCACCTAAACCTGTTGTATAAGTGCCTGTTCAACCCAAAAAACAACCCAAGATCTTGGACTTAGATTAGTTGGAAAGTTAAGGAAAGGTGTATGATTATGAGTCTTCTGAATCTCCTTAACTTCCTAGAAGAGTCTCAAAGAGTTTAAATTTTCAGAAGACAATGCGATAAATGCATTATGAATCATTCTAATCACCTAAACAAAAGAAGAAGCCAATCAAAAATCGTAAGGAACCTAGTCGCATCCAACCTAAATTAGCAAAACAAGTTTAAATAGGAAGACAGCGCCAACTTATTACTTTCCCTTAATCAAGTGTAAAAACGCGTTTAATCAGGGTTTACACAAAAAATGAAGAGAAATGTACTTAATATATTTTATTTGAGACAGTTTAGAAATTACTTAATATCCTCTTATAGAATTTTCCAAATGCTAATGATGAGGATGTAGTAAGAATACTCAATTTTACTGGTAAATCTTATGAAAAAGCTATCAACTTTGTATAAGAGAATGGATTTCTAGTACAATATTTGATTGAGAGTAATTATTATTTAAAGTATTATTTTAGCTTATTAGAATAATGTCTTATCTAGTGAAGAAGAATCAACAAATAAAAAGTGATTTTGAACATATTGAATTATTATATATTTTTAGTAGTTTTTTAAATGGAATTTTAAATCTATATGTTCCAGAATTTATTATTTAAATTAATTTATTACGTCATTCATATTCTTTTTTTTTTAATTATACATATATTCTTTCTAGATCTACATTAATTATAAATTTATTATTTTCTACAAAATTTTAAATAAGACTTCCTTTTACTAATAAGAAATAAACATCTCATACCTGATAAGAATATTCTTTAATTCTAATATCATTAAAACTATATTAATTATTTTTTTAAAAAGATATGTTTATTTAAACAAAAATTACTGGTTTATTATATTTTGATGAAAAAATTCAAATTATCAAACTCCCCATCCATAAGCCTCTTATCTTTTTATTTTCAACTATCTTGGAAGTGCTTATAAATTGATTTCGTCATCATAATGTATTCTTTATGCTTATTCAAGATTTTAAAGTAGTAAAGGTTTTTAAGGAAGAGAAGCAATGTATGAGAAGGCTATAAATTTCTTTTAAAAAAGCTAGTAATAAACAAAAAATATTACAAATTCATGAACTTTGCCCATTAGAATATTCCAAGGCATATTAGTATAAATAGTTGGCATATTATGATAAGGAGATTTACATACAAAATATTTTTCTTCATTTCCAAGTAGTTCATAAAATGAAAAGGATTTCTCATGATTCATATATTTATTAATATAGAATGGATAAGCATCAGATGGAATATTATAAATTTATTGAAAAATTTTTTCTAAAAATTCCCAATTAGTATATTTTTTAATTGATAAACATTTCTTTTTCTTTGTTTTAATCTAAATTTTAAAAATACAATGGACCCAAACCTCTAAAAGAACAAATTTTAGATTATTCACAACCATTTGAAATTCTACCACAAGTAGAACAATATGCATGATATTATTTAATTCTTTTTTTCCATTTTTAATTTTCATACATAATGTAAGATGCCCAACATCATTAGCAGTGGCTTATGTATAAAGAGGTTCGATATGTTTTCCAAGATCATGAGCAACTTATTAAATTTAGCAAGGGTTCCTTATATAATAATTTCTGAATTACAAAAAGTTTCATTTGGAAAAAAATTGATTTATTATTTTACTTGCTTTCTGATAAATCCTTTATTAGAAATAAATTCTAAAATTGTATATATTAATAATCCATCATCATTTATAGCCTTTAGAGCAGAAACTAATAAATTAAATGGTTTGCGAAAGATTTCTTCAATCTCAATAAAATCAAATTTCTTTCCTGATAGAAATTCATATTTATCCATTTAAACTAAGTTTTAAGATGAAAGACCATTAAGATTTAAAATATAATTAGTAAAATCTTCAAAATTTCTTTTGTTATCACAACCTACTGGATCATAATTTAAATCCTAAATATATCTGATTAATCTAGCAGTTGCTTAATTTCCTATAATAGAAGTTTTAGGTTTAGTTGAACCAAAAAGCTTCTGCCCAAATCAAATGTATATCTCTATTAATTTTCATGTTTCTCATATAAGATAAAACAAATCATTTGAATTATCTATATCAAAATTTGATTCTGGATTAAGGTACTGATATTTCATTTTTTCTTCAATTGATTCATAAAGAAAAATTTCCTTTTTATTTTTACTATAAAATTCTGGATTATAAAATCCTTTAGGAGGCTAGTTTAATTATAATAAAATCTAAGTTGGAGTATGTATTTTTAATCCATTAGAACTCCCTTTTATTTGCAAAATATTTTGCAGAAGAGTAGTTTTCATAAATATTTTTTATTTAATTACTTTTATTGTATTAAATTTAAAATCTCATTCTTCTTATAACCAGAACAATTGGCTCTTTTTTTATGAATTGGTATAATTGGATCTGATTCTTAGGCATAATTAAATTTGAATTCTCTAATCCTGTAACTAAGAGGTGTTTCTTTGGATCTATCTGTAATGGAATTTTAAGATTAATTTCTTGGAAGTTATTTAACTTTCAGTTTAGGTAATTGAAGGTTTTCTTTTTTAAATTAGATGGTGTATCGAAATTCATCATTTAACTACGAAATCGATATGATCATTATATTTTTTATTATAAAATAAAAAAATGATTTTTTTAAGAGTATTTATTGTTTCCAATTAAATGGAAGATAGTTTTACTATTTCTCTATTTTAAATAATCCAAAATATCTGTAATTTTTCAAAATTCATTATCTCTTCTAAATTATTTTATTATCATCTTGTATATGTTAACTATTTCATAAAGTTTTTTATTTACTTTTTATATTAAACTAAATAATATAGCAATACTCTGGTTATTGATTAAAGTATTATAAATAATTAAGAATAATTTGTTATGAAATTCTTTTTTACACCAATAATATAGTTTTAATTCTTTACAGCTACTAAAAACCTTTTTGTTCAACATAATAATGGCATTATTATTTTAGTATCACATTTATATAATTACATAGATAAATACACTTAATTTATTAAATATGATAAGCAATACCTGTAAATAGAGATTCATAAAATTGTTCATGTTAATTTAAATAATTTTTTTATGTTGCTTGATTTAAGATTTATCTTATTTTATTAATAGTAATGTACTTTAAAATAAATAATATTGAAAGTTTCATCCATTAATAATAAATAATGAAATCAAAATAACATATTAGATCATCTTCTACTTAATTTGAAATTTTGATGTTGAAATTTAATTGGAGCATGAAAATGAATGCTCTACAAAAAATATTATTAAGAAGATGCAGATAACCATTATAAGATCTTAAAAATCACTACAATGAACAAACTAGTAGAATAACCAAAAAACATGTTCGTCATTTATCATATGAAACTGATGAATCAATGGAATAACTTAAATTATTAGAATTATTCAAACATCGAAGAACTCCAACTGACAATTTTTAAAAATATACTTCTTCTGACATAACTCGAATCTACAGTAACAGAAATCGAGAGGAAAATTCTTCATTCTTTCAATCTGATGAGAATATTAGAATTAATGAATAATTTTTAGCTCTCTTTTAAGATCGAAAAGATTAAACGTATTTTGGTATTTTGAGTAAATTTCATTCCAATAATAGCTCCAAGAACTTAAATTGAACAAGAGAATCTACACAAAATGTTAGAATATAAAAAAAATAATTCTAATGATATCTTTACCTTTATTTAATTAGTCAAGAAACCGAGAATTGTTATTGAAGAAGAAAAAAAACTGTAATAATAGTCAAGCGTTAATTTTAAACTATTAATTTTCTTAACACTATTACTATTAATTGTAATATAATTTATTTGATCATTTTATTACTCTTTAATTTGCAATTAAAGCTTTTATTTATTTTATATCTGTGTTCCATTAACCAAATGGAATTATACATTTAAAAAATGCATATAATGATGGCTTTAATTATGATTCTGTTATTCCAATCAAATATGTTTATTAAAATTTTGAATTTTACTGGGCAAACTCTTATTCATTTTTTTAAACAATATCTGCAAAATCTGCAATTTCTTATTGTTTTTTAACAAATAGCATAATAAAGTAAAATTATTTACCAGCTAATAAATATTGTTTATAAAGTCTTATTACATCAACAATATCAACTACAATTATTGGATCTTTGATTTCATAATTATCATATGTTGAATTTCCGAAATTTTTAATTATATCTCTTGATAATTTTATATTTGAAACATAACAAAGTATTTCATTTACTGTTTTTGGAGCTTATATTACATTACAACGATGAGTCCATCTTAAATTATATCTATTATCTCTGTTTTATAAAACATCTTTATTAAAATTAAACATAGCAGGTTCACGATTGCTTTTACAATTTGAATCATTTCTTCTTGGAAATACTACTTTATAATTATTTCTAACAAGTTTTTTCTTTTTCTTTGGTTTTTTTGCCTCTTTTAAAAGTCTTTACAACTTTTCTTTATTAATATCTTATAATTTTCTAGCCTTAATTTAAGGTGTAATAAATGAAGGAGGAGAATTCGCTATACTATCTGCATATTCCTAAAATAATAAATCAATATACACTTATTGCAAATTTATCATTATTTTCTGATTAATCTATTACAATCTAATCTAATATTCCTTTGTCTCTAGCATCTTCAAGAGTTGTTTCTAACAAAAATACTAATTCATCTCTAATTTCTGGAAAATTGATATCTACTATCTTATTTATTTACTATGGTATTGAATCTATAATAGTTTGAGTCGGTAAACTTTTTCTAATTTAAGAATCTAAAATAAATTTAGTTGGTAATATTTAAACTTTTTCTTTCCATTGATAATGACAATCATCTAAAACAATTCTAGAAAATGTTATATCTGTGAATTATGACATATGTTCTGGTTTATTACTTGTAATATAACTTAAAAAAGTAAATGTAATGATAACATTATCTCCATCAGTTTAAAATTTAAATTCATTATGATTTAATTTCATTTATTACTTCAGAATTTATAGACAATGAATAAGAAATTATTCATTTGGTGTTAATTTTGCATCAGATAATCCAAAAACTTGAGAATATAATTTAATTACTGAAGGTGTGCATGTAAATATTAATGTAAATTCCAAATCATAACTTGATTTATCCTAATTGATTTGTGATATAATGCATTTAATAGATAATTCACCTTTTTATTTATCACAAAATCTTGTAGAATAAAGTAAGGTTTAAAAAATGAATATAAGTAATCTTTTATCACCTGCAACAAGTTCTGGTATGCCATTTTCAAATATTAAATTAATTATATTAAAATGTTCATAAAGTTTGAGAACAGTAGTTTCAATTAGATTACATAATTAAATTTTTATATAAAATAATGTGATTTCTTCCGAAGGACACATAATTTATGAATTAATATAATGTTCTAAATGAAGACATTCAGATAAACATTATCCTAATGCACTTAAATCTGATTCCTTAATCATACGAAACGCTCTTAAATTATTCCACTTAGCATAATCTTAACTTAATAATGTATATAATTTTTTTATTTTATCATCCATTATAGAAAAGAATGTGTCATTTTCACATTAAAAATATGTTTAAATAAATAATAGATTACCTTCCCATGGTTTAATCTGATATTCAATTAATTTTTTATCACTTGTTTCTAATTAAGCAATTCCAATAAATTTTTTTTTTATATATTCTGTCACTTATTATTAAGAATGGGATGCCAATTTTATAGGTTTATTAGTAAAACGTTCATTAAGATTTTCATCTAAATAAAGAATATGATGAGGTAAATTTAATATAATGCCTTCTTATTCTTATTGAGTTGCATTCATTATGCAAATTTTAGCATAAAAATATCTTTTTAATATTTCAATAGCTCTTAAAAGAGTAATTATTAAGAAAAACAAATAAGCATGACTTAGTTTTTGAATAATAAGAAATTGAAATATCACCTAAAATGGCCAATAAGGTATTAGAATAAAGTTTGTTAAAAAAGTAAAAATATGAGATTGGATACAATAATTTTAGATTTCTTTTAGTTAAGCAATACATAGAATAATTTAAATTATATATCTCCATTTATACTTATTTTGATAGTAAAATAATAAAGTTAGAATTGATGTTGTAATTGTAATAAAAGTGCATTGAAAAATGATTTTGAGTAACAAAATAAATGGAAAGAATGAAATTCCAGTATAAATTGAGTATCTGAAATTCTATTCATGCTTTTCATAAATAAATCTGGCAGTTGATGAGACTTGATATTTGTCCATATAATTTTATTATTTATACTCAATTTTATTATAATTTTATTTTTTTTGACAATAATTCTTCTTTCTCAATCAAGATGATTGTCTTATAATATTTCATCAATTTGACATCATCTTAATTATCTTCAATTAATCCAAAAGGAAAGAATCCTTTAATAATTTATGCACTGATCACATAATTGAGATCACAAGATAATGGAATCATAAGTAAAATAGTGGAGAAACCACAACCAAAAAGTGAATTAACCAATCCAATTAAACATCCCATTGACCATCCAGAATATCTAAGAATGGTTTCAGCTTATTAATCTAATATTAATATATTAAGTATTCTTTACATAATGAAAAAATAATATCTAAATCTTAAATATGTAAAGCATCTATGCTCTCTTATAATTCATAAGAAGCAATTGCTTAATTATTTAATTAATTTTAAGTCAAGTAAAATACCTAACGACCTATTGTTAGTGAAGTTAATAACGATAAGTCATTCTCCCATTTTTGAGCTATTTGTGGCTTTTTAATTAAATTCATTAATTTAATTCCTATACTTTTTGGTGAATTAATAATCTATTTAAAAGCTAATAAAGAGATTGTTCCAAAAGTTTGAAATGAATTTCTAAATTAATAAAATACTTACTTTGAAATTTATATACTTTCCTCTTACTCCCATAGTAATTGTTTTAATGTAAAAATGTATATAAAATAATTAGTATACAATCTTAATATTTTAGATACATAAACAAAAAAACAAAATGCCAAAATTGCTAAAATGATTCCTAAGATAGATGGTTAAAATTGACTAAAAGCAGGTTTAGAAGTGTTAATTGAACCTATGCTCAATGCTGCACTATAATTATAAATAATTTATACGTGATCAAATAGTAAAATATTAAAAAGTTAACTATTACAAGAACTTATATTATAGAATTATATGTAAATGTGTATTTTTCAAGTTTCTTTCTTAATAACAAAGATATGTAACTTTTTAATCTATAATCCTCTTTATTATTTTAAGAGAAACTTTAATGAATAACAGATCCTATAAATAATATGACTAAGATCAATAAAAATATAGTATAGGTAGATTTATGATTAAGGGCTTCAACTATGATTTCAATTGATTATTAATTTAATTATCTTGATTCTCCTGCTCTTTCAAGTTTGTCCATATCATTAAAATTTTACAAACGATATGCCATAATAATTGATAACCATAATAAACCATATGGATAGAATTTAGTTTAGAATGAAATTATAAGTGAAAAATATTACCTAGTAACTCTTTAACTTAAATAGAGGAAGGCTAAGAGTAACAGAAGCCCTGTAAACAGAAATTCACTGTTTGATATTAAAGATTAAGTAAAGTTATTAAGAGTTGGAGTTTCCAAAGCAGGCATAACTTTTGATAATTAAGAATATAATGTAGGTAAGCATCCATGATTATCTAGATAAATAATAAAATATATTACATTCCTCTGTATTAACAATGTTACCTGAACAATTATCACATTGTAATTTTGTATCACCAGTCTTTGGACATTCTTCTAAACAAAGACTCTTTGAAATATCTTTTGGATCCGGAAAGTATATTAAATTACATTATTCTAACAATGGCCTATAAATATACTTCCATTGCTTAATGGTTAATTTATGGGACCATAACCAAGAATGTTTGAAATACCAAATAAGCTTACATATATGACTAATACTGCTATTGAGATTCCAAAACAAAGTTTATCAGTTATTGCCATTATGTATTTAATTTATATATATATAATATTTTTATACCAAAATTATATTTCACAGCAAACTTAATTCTGTAAATTATTAGATTTTTCAATCTATTTTCTACATTCTTATAATTAGAATTTAGAAATAAAATATTTCTATCTCTCTTAGATTTACTATTTATATTTCTTTAGATATTTTTATTAAATTCAATTAAATTATTTAAATTATAATGATATTAAATATATTTACTAATTATGATTTTCACATATACAGTATTTAATTTTCAATTTTCAGTAAATAAGTTAGAGTTTTATAAAAACTATCTTCATTGTACAAGGCTTTAGGTGGTAATAAATAAACAAATTATCTAATACCCCATAATTTTTGAATGATAAATTAGTGGATAAAATAAATCTAAGCAATATTTATTAAAATAATGAAAAGATAAAATAGAACAGAGACGGTTAATTTGACATCATTACTATCCAAAATTCCTTGTTCTACAGTTTATCGAACAGTGTCTACAAAACCAGTAACAGCATCTATCATAAAACTCTCAGATAACATATGTCTCAGTTAAAGCATTTACGATGCTACTCCAGATATTTGATATAAATCAATATTCTCTCTTAAAATTTAAAAGATCTCTTAAGATGGTATCAATAATCCTTATTGCAGTTCCCCATTGTTAACAGTGACACATATATCAGGTTCATTAACTTATAAGCATACATTACTTGAAAAGAGAATCTTCAACTCTTCTGATACTGTTCCTTATGAGTAAAGAATTTCTCCTAAAATATTATTTGCAATTGTGTAACTTTCATTTGTATAAATAAAAAATTAGGCTGGATCATCTATTTCAATGAAATTATTTTCGACCAAATATTTATTACTTTACAAAATGAAATTAGTCAAACAAGCTTCCGATAAACTTTCTGTAAAAGTAATACATTTTTAGTAGATTTTTAATTTAGACTCTAAATCTTTAATTTAAGCTTTATCATCCATTCTAATTAATAAAAAACTCACTAATGAAATAGTAAAAGAAATTAAATGAAGACTAAAAGTAATTTGCCTTTTTAGATTCCATTGACCTTAAACTTTTATAAACTTTTTGTTATTATTATTATTATTATTATTAGTGTTAGAACTTCCCCCTAAGAAGTTATTATTTTATTTATCTTCTTCTTCTGAATGGAATTTATCTCTTAAAGAGAAATGATATTCATAAAGATCGAAATGCTAATAATTATATATATATTTTTACATCTTGATTAATTAATAATAATTGATTCACATGATTTAATTCACTTGCAATTGCTGAATGTGAAATTTATTCAGAACATCTTATATATTTCTTACATAATTATATGTATGAAAATTATAATAGAAATGCAATACAGAAATAGACAACATAAACTGCTATGAAAATAAAGGAAACGTAATCTATAATGTTATCTTAAGCTCCTAAAATAGAATTAATTTCATCTGTGAATCTAGTATTCAAAAGGGAATAAGCATCTTTATATTTGCTATAAGATCGCAATAAATATAGAATGGATTTAAAAAATTAAAAATTGTCTGTAAAATCAGTTATATGCAAGGATCTTATCATATAGATTAATTGAAAGAGAGCAGTCCAACCCTTGACTGTTTTATCGACATTTTCAAAAATATCTAATTATTCTAATTCTATTGTTGAGAATACTTCTCTAATAATTGAATTTTCTGAATACTCATCCATTCGTGTTGAAAATATTTCAATATTTCTATCCAACACAGCCTATAATTACTTAAGTAAAGTAGCATTTTATTCATAATACATACCATATTCTGATAAATTCTAGACTTATTGAGTAAATTAAATCATAGTCATAGTTCCTTACATAGTGGCTCTACTATAGGCAGTCATAGTAAAAGCTTATAAAATGTAGATATTGCTTCTCATATTGCTTTACCAATTTGTATAAAGAATTGTAGCGGCAGTCATAAATCCTAAAATTGATACTAAAGAAAATATATTAATAAAAAGTAATGCATATAGCAATTTAGGCTTAGTGTTCATTTCAGAGAACTTACGATAAAAATGAGATTTAACTAAGATTCTTTATATCTCACTTTACTTAGATGAATTACTACTTATGCTATTAATATAAATCTATTTATGAGGTTATTCAGGTGATTCCAAATCTTTTTCACTTGAATCTTACTTCGATAATATGTCATGATGTTCACTACATAGAAATTCTTATTATTTTAATGGTTAATTTTCTTATTCAACTGGAACCATCTGACTACGTAGAGTGATAGGATCTGGTTAAGAAGTTAATTAAGGAATCTCATTATCTCCTGCACCAGGCATAATATAATCTTTTAATTTTATTCCTTCAAATTCAGAACTATATTCATCTAAAGACTTTGATAAAGGAGATTCATCACTACAAACTGCTCCTAATTTATATGGAGATCTTATTTTTAGAACATATACTTTAAATATCATTCTATTTACAAGAGAATATGACATTTAAACTTCCAAATCTAATTGATATTTTGTTTCTTTGTCAAATATCATTTCTATCGAATCTTAAGATACTGTAAAATGTTAAACTAACTTATTTGATGTAGTTAATGTTCCACTAACACCATTTTCTTTTTGATATTCTTCTAAATAATGTTGCAATTATGCATCCAATGAATCAAAACTTGGTATAAACTAATTAATTGATTTACCTATTAATTTAGATGGATTATTCATCTCGAAACATTCCAATGCATTATTTGTAATCCCTTCTATATTTTATTTTGAATCTAATAGAATAAATCCACTTAATCCATCCTATCTTATTCCTTATTTAATTTCTTTCATGAAACAATATGATGGAAGGATATTTGATGAAAAATTAAAACTGATATCTATAAATATTTCTAAATAACACAATACTCCTGGAGTTAATTATTATGTTAATAATGGCAATGGTTATCTAAAAATCATTGGTCTATTTGTTAATACAAACATTTCTACCATTTCATCATGTGGTTTTATTAAGCTAGGATAACATAGTTAATCTAAGGATTTCACTTATTATCTAAACTCTTCCTAAGTATAACCTACAAATGAGGGGAAATTTTTAGAGAAACTAATTATTTCACCTCTCTTCATATGTGACTAAGTGAGATTAAGAAGCATGTATCCTACTTTATAAGATTATTCTTCAGTTTTATAATAGAAAGATGGGTATTCAAAGAATTTGCTTTCTCTAGTATTGATTAAATTACATAGTTTAATAAACTGATCATAATTATTAGTAATTTCTAAACAATAAAGCATATAGCAATACAAAGAAGTTCTACCAGGAGAATATAAGTTAAAATATTCAAGTTCCTTTTAAATCTTACAATTTTATAAGTTTAATTATAAATATAATTCTTCAAGAGATTCATAACTATGAGTTTCATCATTTAATTTGATTAGAAATTGTTTTTTATGCTATAAATTTCCAAACACTAATTTCAATAAACGATCTCTTTCCAATTCTGTATATCTATAATCCTCATATTTCATTGTAAGTTCTATGGATTATCTAGTAATATCTTCTTTGAATCTATGTAGAATTTAATACTTTGAATAACTTTTTAGTAATTCAAAAGCTAATCTTTATTGCAAAGAACTTCCTTTTTCTAATAAATGCTTTAAATCGAGTATTTATAATTAAGCTTAATAACATTCATCAGAGTTACATAGAAACACTAGAATCTAGATCAAATAAATAATATTGGGATGTGCTTTACGAATTTCAGTTTAAAAGACTAATTTAGAGTAATCTCTTAAATATCTCATAATTAATTCAACATAAAATTGAATATTAAGAATTTTGAAATCATCATACATTCTCATTTCTTTAACAATTTCATATTTTTCAATAATTTTTCTTTTTTCCCCCTTAAGACCACGACAAAAACAATAAAGATTATTACAATTTTCAGTGTGAGTTCTTAATAATATGATACAAACCATAAGAATTTTAGATCTTTCATTTTTCAATTAAACTCCTGAATTTCTAGTGAGGACTCCAATTTCAGTTAATCTCATTAATTAGACAGCTCTGATGAAATGAATAAAATATGACATGTCATATTATTTAATCATATTTGATTAGAAATCCTTATATTTAATATTTTCACTTTCAATTCTTAAACCTTGTTCTGATTCATGAGTATGTAGAGTTTATTAAACTTATTATTAAACAACAGGAATTTGAATAGCTTTTTCTTTTTTTAATGTTGAAGTGAGTACCTTTTCAATCCTACTATCTTATAACACAACAAATAATCTGCTAAGGCAAGGTGAAACTATAAAAGTTAAACATATAATTTGTTAATCACTTAATCTACAAATAAAGAATAATGTTAGACAGATAACAATAGCTCTCATAAATAAATTTGTTGAATATTTAAATTTTTAGACATATGGTAATGTAATATAAGCATCTAAAGCATCAATTAGAAAAGCCAATATAACAAATACTAAATTTACTACCTGAATAAAATCATCTTCATTAATATAGTTACCTGTTCGTACATATATATAACTGATTAATATTGGTATTATACTAAATCCTATATGTAACCATTATAAGTATGAAAATCTTAGTCTTAAAAAATTAGATTCATGTAAAGTAAATGAGACTTAGCACCATACTAAGGATAAACCTGAAAGTATCAAAGTTTAAATTGCTAAAATGACGTTCAGTATTTATCCAATAATTTATTATGTTTGATCTGCATTATCTAACGCTAAATTTATTTATAATAAGAAATAAAGTATAGGGATTAAAAAGACATGAGGAAAATAATTCAAGAAAATTGCTATTTATCTTAATCTTATAATTTATAAAGATGTATTAGATTAATCTGACATTAAACGATGTTAAAATCCTTCTATATAAGAATTTTAATTATAAATTTAGTGCATAATTTGAATACAATCACTAAGATTATCACTCTAACTTATATTCAATTATCTTTTATTCTTAAATTTAGTTTATCTAAAAAATGTTATCTCATCAGACATGCTAACTCCTACCAAAATAGCTGGTATTGAGAAAAAAAAAATAAATACACTTTAACATGCAATTAAATAATCAGGCCCTAAATTTTCAGGTAAATACATAGTAGGAACACAAATTTTAAACAGTAATTCTAAATCTTAGGTACCAGATTATCCATTAAAATTATTAAATAAGGAAGCTAATTTTATTATTGCCACTTTTTAAAGTACACTTATTATCATTGCTAATACCCAAAGAAAATAGTTTTCTTTCATCAAACAAAATTATGTAAATCCTATTATAAATTACAATCTATTCTCTAGTTTCTACTAAAAACTATTTGTAAAGTTCTCAATTTGATTCATATAATATATATTAATATATAATTAAATTAATGAATTACGAAACTAACATATACAAAAGCAGTCTAATGAATAAATGGGTCTTAATACTTTTATTTATCATATGTACAAGTCTTATCGCTGTTTTTACTGGAATAGCAGAAGTTGCTCCTTAAATTCTTACATTTACAGATGTAGTTGATGATACCAAATGTTAAAATGAATTAAATGTTTAATGTACTACATTGGATAATTAAAGAAATCTAGGGAACTTAAGAAGAATTTAAATCAGTCTTAAACAATAATTTATTGTGTTTCTTTTGCCATGAAAACATTCCAGAAAAACCATTTGGAATCAAAGGCATTTTACTCAATTAAGAAAATATTGTAAATTAAACTATGATAACATACTCCGTTGGATATTTTGATGATATTTCAAAAAAACCTTGTTGGTATGAGGCATTATAAAATGAAAATATAAACAATCTACCTAACATTAAAGCTAATGTCTTTGATAAGTAAATCAAAGTTTAATCATCTACATTGTTACTTAATTGGGAATGTATCTAAAATCTTACTTCATATACTTGTTACACCAAAGAAAATATATTTAGTGATAATAGGTAGTTTTCAAGATTGTTTGGATTTGTAAAGATAAAAGGAATTTAATATTAATATATGAATTTTGCTATTATGAAACAAAGTTAAGACTATTATCTATATAATGAAGTAATGATGATTGCTTGGATTGGAATAGAACTTGTTTTTTGTTGTGTTTTATTTATGTTAGAAGATGAATTTGAAGAATAACAAGATTAAGTTTTAATACCTACTTTAGCTGTAAGAAATCAAATATTTTTAATATTTTTATTAAATAATCATCCATTATTCTTGATATAATTGTTTTATGATAATTTATACTTGAAATTATTCAATGTAATTTTTTAATCAATTGGTTAAGCTGGATTTATGTTTTATTGTATATTTATCAATTTCAAATTACTTGGATTAAATTAATAATTCANAGTACACTTATTATCATTGCTAATACCCAAAGAAAATAGTTTTCTTTCATCAAACAAAATTATGTAAATCCTATTATAAATTACAATCTATTCTCTAGTTTCTACTAAAAACTATTTGTAAAGTTCTCAATTTGATTCATATAATATATATTAATATATAATTAAATTAATGAATTACGAAACTAACATATACAAAAGCAGTCTAATGAATAAATGGGTCTTAATACTTTTATTTATCATATGTACAAGTCTTATCGCTGTTTTTACTGGAATAGCAGAAGTTGCTCCTTAAATTCTTACATTTACAGATGTAGTTGATGATACCAAATGTTAAAATGAATTAAATGTTTAATGTACTACATTGGATAATTAAAGAAATCTAGGGAACTTAAGAAGAATTTAAATCAGTCTTAAACAATAATTTATTGTGTTTCTTTTGCCATGAAAACATTCCAGAAAAACCATTTGGAATCAAAGGCATTTTACTCAATTAAGAAAATATTGTAAATTAAACTATGATAACATACTCCGTTGGATATTTTGATGATATTTCAAAAAAACCTTGTTGGTATGAGGCATTATAAAATGAAAATATAAACAATCTACCTAACATTAAAGCTAATGTCTTTGATAAGTAAATCAAAGTTTAATCATCTACATTGTTACTTAATTGGGAATGTATCTAAAATCTTACTTCATATACTTGTTACACCAAAGAAAATATATTTAGTGATAATAGGTAGTTTTCAAGATTGTTTGGATTTGTAAAGATAAAAGGAATTTAATATTAATATATGAATTTTGCTATTATGAAACAAAGTTAAGACTATTATCTATATAATGAAGTAATGATGATTGCTTGGATTGGAATAGAACTTGTTTTTTGTTGTGTTTTATTTATGTTAGAAGATGAATTTGAAGAATAACAAGATTAAGTTTTAATACCTACTTTAGCTGTAAGAAATCAAATATTTTTAATATTTTTATTAAATAATCATCCATTATTCTTGATATAATTGTTTTATGATAATTTATACTTGAAATTATTCAATGTAATTTTTTAATCAATTGGTTAAGCTGGATTTATGTTTTATTGTATATTTATCAATTTCAAATTACTTGGATTAAATTAATAATTCATCACCTTTTTCAATATAGGAATTTGTGTATCATATTCGATATTAAAATCTTTTATAACAATTGCCATAGGTTTAGAAATGATGAAAAACATACCTCAATCTTCTGTATATTTGAATGACTCGAATTTTACATTTATTGGATTATTTATGGTGTTTTGGTATGTATATTTTATGGGAATTTAATGTGTATTATACATAAAAAATAAAAGAAATAAAAAAATTCAATTTAGACAAGCTAGAACAGATACTAATATGAAATTATGTCATAAATATTTTAAGGGAATTTTAATATTTCAAATCTTTAGTACAATATTTGTAAATGCATTTTTTGCAAGAATATTATGGTAAAACATAATTATATTTAATCCAAATTATTTGTATTATGATCATTATCAGATAACTCTAATAAATGTTTGGATTATTGCATTATTCCTTTTATTTCATCTTGAAAATCCAAATAAGATAAATTAAATTCTAGAAGCAGATTAAGAAGAAATAAGCGATAAAGTTGATATTCAATTATGTAATACAATTTAATTAGAAGAAGAATAGGTGAAATTGCAAGAAATTCCTGAGTAAAACATAGAATAAGGTAGTAAGACTCTAGATACGAATTTACGTAAAGTAAAGTATTATGATATAGCATAACCTGAAACATAACTAAGACATTGATTTATAATTATATATAAATTTGATGATTATTTCTGAATAAATGTAAGCCAACTTGGCTCACTTTTTTTTAGTTCTAAAATAATAAGAATGTGTTCAATATTAAGATATAAATGGTACTCAATATGAAGGATAGATAAGACTCATATAACCAAATGAACAAAAATTGGTTTTTAATTACATTCGTAATTTGGCAACTAATGAATAAAATGATAATAAACAAATTCAATTCAAAGATTTAACATATCTAAAAATTCAAAATCAAATTCAACAAACTTAAATAATAGAAAAATCTAAATCTGAAAAAAAAACAAAAACATTTGTTAGATGGGAACAAAATGTAGATGCTTCAAATTTAGAAGATTAAGCAGTGAAAAATTTTGATCAATTTGAAGCTATTAAAAAATTTGGAATTGATGCTACATATGATGAAAATAAATATACAACTAAATTAATAGCACCTGTAACTGAAGATTTAAGACAATATGCAGAAAAATGTGAAAAAGAATTGAAAAATGACACAAGTAATAAACATGTTTTAGAAGAGAGAAATCTAAAATAATTAGAAGATGAAGAATAAGCATATTCAGAAGTTATCAGAGAATAACCATAATAAATTAATTAAGTTTAATAAGCTATCTAAACTTAAGTAGCTACTACTCCAATTAAATTTTTCAATTCAAATAAAAAAAAAGAAAAAAATGGCAAAATATAATATATAGAGAAATTATTAGAATAAGTAAATCTAATTGCAGATGAACCTGAACAATAACTTAAAATAAAACAATTAAATTAAGAACCAACTACCAAGTATTTTTATATATATAATTAAATAAATAGATTCAAGTTTTAATAGGTTAACACTGATAATATTCCTAGATTAATGCTTTGTAATTTCATTAATGCAATTGAAGGATATAAATGGTAAAATATGAACCCTGATCAAAGTAAAAACAAAAAAGAGAAATTAAAAAAATGAATTATATCAAAGTGTTTATAATATATTAATAAAATTTTATATTTTCTCATAAAATTCTTAAAGATGAGATCCAAAGTCATTATGGTGACCATCTTTAATAACATAAAACTCAATTAAGTTGTTTGCTTTTTTGCTCATTTCCCTAACCTAACCAATATTAACCATATCGTCTAATTATCCATGAACAATCAATAAAGGACACTCAACCTATTCAATCAATTCATAATTTCTAAAGATATCATCTTTGTAAAATTCGTTATGATCTGAAACAATATTCAAAATAGATTTAAAACTGGATTTTAGTATAACACCTCCAATTTAGACTTAACTTGCCTATATTATCAATCAATATACTAAATATAATGAAGGACTTGTTCCTAAAGATTATCCATATAAAATTATTTAATAATTCTAAAAACCAAGAGACAAGGCAAAATGATAAACACAATCAATAGCATTAAAAATACTATCTTGAGATGTATCTCCTTCACTTAGTCCATAGCCAGGATAATCATACCCAATAACCATTACTTTCAAATTATTACAAAAATCAATGTATTCCTCCATACAACATCCAATATCTAAATGGTTTGAATGAGAATGTATCAAAACCATATTTGTTTCATAATTCAATGGCTTTATCATCACTATTGCTAATCTTCCCTTATTTCCTTCTAAGTATTAACCTTCTATTTCTAAATTAGAAGGCCATTCTTTATTTACATTCTATATTAATTAAATAAAATAAGAGGAGTGTTTAGGATAAGGAATTTTTCTTAGGGACTATTTATTACTTAATAATTTATCTTCTAAACTAATGCTTCGAGGCTTAACAAAATTAATTGAAAATTATTCACTTTAAACTGAAAATTCTAACTAGATTGAATTTTATTGATCATATTCTCTAAATCGATAGGTAAGATTAATAGGTTTAAATACAAACCATCTTAATAATTTATTTTTGAACTTGCAGAATATTAAGAAAAGTAAACAATAAAGCTTAAATTTCTTCATTTTAAATTTAATATATTTAATATATATATCATTTACTTTCAACCAAAGTATATTTATTAAACCGAATTCCATCAAATATTTTTTATTGATATATTGTAGTTTTGCATAACCCCGAATAAGTACTTGAACGTCCTTTATCACAAGCTGATCCTATAGTTTTTTAAGTTGCAGATATATATGGAACTACACCTTTACGAGGAACCTTATTATTTAAAAATAGAATACCTCATCAAAGAAACAAACAACATATTCTATAAATTTATCAATGTTCTTTTTTAATGCACGTCCACAACCAAAATATTTCATCCTTGCAATCACCAATTATTCTCCTTTATTATCATCCATCCATTTTTAATATACTTCTCTTGGTTCCCATTCTTAACTCATTGAATGAACTGTTCTGAATTTATGTAGTGCACCATAACGACTTGTTAACTAATTGTTTATTTATTTTCTTAATCTACTTATCTGCATGTTTCAATAGAATCTGGACATCTTTCTGAACATGATTATGCAGCATTTGCAATCCCTTATTACCATTCTATTATATTCATATTTGCAGCATAATCAAATTCCCCTACATGATTTTTTCTTCTTCCTTAAGCTACTTCATTTCTTAATCTATTCAATTATTCTTCAAATTCTGATTGTCTTTTTGCAAATATTCCTTTTGCTGTTGTTTAACATGAATCACCTGGTAATGCATTAGCTATTAATAAGCATCCTAAAACTATTATTATCATTTATTATATATAATTATCGTTTTTTCTAAACTAAACTACCATAGATTAATCCTTTTATATTAGAAATAGGATAATCATAAAACTATTTCATTCATTCTAATCTTAATTGCATTATTATTCAATTTCTAGTTCTAAGCTTATTGAAAATTAACAAAACTCATTTATATTCTAAAATTCAATTTAATTTAAATTTTTACTATATATTAATTTATAAAATGGCAGAGAATAATAAAGATTTAAAATAACTTAAGATCAAGACAGCTGCTCTAAAAAGAATTTAAAAAGAATTTTTTGGTTATTAAAAAGAAGAATTAAAATAAAATGAAAGAATTTAAAAGCTTAAAGTCCAAAATGCTGATGAAGCTGATGTCAAAAAACAAGTTCAAAATTTTTTTAATAAATTTAGGAAGAAGTTCTCTAAGAAACAGTATAGATGTATCCAAATATTATTGGAAGACTTGTTGAATCAGTCAATGAACTTTAAGCATGGCTAGTAATCAATTCTTATTATTCAAATTAGGATGGAAAAATTAATGATCCATTGATTGATACAAGTGAAGAAAAGACTAAGGCATTGGAGGCAATTACTGAAGCTTAAGAATTTTTGAAAGCCAACAATCCAGCTTAATGATTAATTAACATCTTATTATCAATATCCTTAATTTGTTTGAGAATATCTACCATACTATAAATATTTTGATTTAAAATCCTTATTTTTTATTTTAATATGTTTTATTAAAAAGGTATAGAGGATGGAATGACAATATTTTATTTGATAAAATTTATTTTCTCCTAATAAAATGAATTATTATAAATAACATGCTTTGCAACATATGGCTTAAGTTGAACCAGAAGGTAATTTCTTTATTTTTCATCCTAATACTCCTTTTACTTCTAGCAGAACAAAATAAAATCGAGTTTTGGCTTTTTTATTGTAAAAATTGGTAATGCTTCGTAAGTAAATTTCATAATTTAATATTAGGTATGAAAACTTATGTGTTGTGATTTTGTTACTTTTGAAGGAATTAACAGGATAATTTTTTTATGCAAACTATCAAGGTAATAGTGAGTTAAGATAGATACTTATCTACTATAATAACATAATTTTTTAGAATCCTGGATTGTATTAATAATTTTATAACACTGAAACACCTTAGAAATTTAAGTTTTAGTTATGGCTAAAATCATTAACTCATCTTGATGATGATAAACTTCAAATTGAAATTGAAAAATATTCTTATGACCATAAATATATTAATATGTTAGAATATGAGATATTATTATCAATAACTCATGAAAGTGAGATTGATTTAACAAAAATAAAAAATGGTTATATTTTGCTTAAATTAATCAATTACAAAGAAGATGAAGAGAGACTTTAAATTCTAAAAAAGATGAAGGATTGTTATATGAATGAAAGTTATATCTTAAAAAAAGAGTGGTTATTCTTAATGATTAAAATGGATAAAAAATTTGAAATATAAGAATTAAATAATCTATCATAAGTAGATTTATTTGATTCTCATTTTTAATTTTTATTAGTTTCAAGCTATTTAAAATTGGATCAGGAAGAAAAGGCAATTGAATAATTAATAAATCATTTACATTACTCTGATGGTAATTCTGAAATATGGGCCTTATTCTAACAATAGTTGACATAATAATTAATAGACAAACATAAATCAGAATTAGTAATCTTAATCAAATTGCATTTTGGACAAGGTTTTTTCAAGAAATTAATGGAATTTCCAAAGGATTAAGAATCAATTAGATTATTATAAACAAAGATAGGATTTTTATCACTTTTTAATGAAGAATAGTCTTAAAAATATCTCAACTTTTTATAATAACAAGAGTAAATATGTATGTGATTTATTAAAAATAATAATAATAATATTCATATTTAAAATATATGTAATCAACTAAAACTTTTGATGGACGAAATACCATAAGAACATATACAGGAAACAAAGTACTTAGGAAATTAAAAGAAAATCGAAATAATACAGCTAAATTTGTTAAAAAAAGTTCTCCACCTAAAGATCTACTTTTTACATCTTAAAATAAATTTAGAGTTGGACCCCCTCCATAACCATTACGTAAGAACAATAATATCTTAAGTTAGGGCATAATAATTTTCTGCTTTCGGACCCAGCAGATCCACTAAATCCATTTTAGCAAGAAATAACTTTTTAAATGGCTAACCATCAATCACAAATATCAAACCTTTTTTAGATTTTACTTAATTTATGAAAGGATTATCATCTAATAACGTAAAACCTCGGTCACCTGAACCTTAAAAAATGGTGGCAAATAAATCAAAATTTTGTAGATGTAAAGACATTAAAGATATAATGAAGAAGGTAGAGTATGTATTCAATAATTTTATAGGATGAAAATGATAATATTAGTATTAATAATGATATGAGCCCAAAATTATAATAATTGCTATATAATACTTCTCTCAGTAAACCATCCTCTCCTACAATGAAAGGATACTTAAATTCTAAAAAAGATATTTATAAACAATGTATTATATATATTTATTTAGAAAAAAACGATGTTAAAAAGGAAATCTATTCTTAAGCATTATAAAAAATGCTTAAAGAAGGAGATGAAGAGGAACTTATGGATTTCGATCATCGATACTTAAGAAGTGTTAGATAGAGGAAACTTAGAAATATTGTACATTTTCTTTTAGGACGATCAAAAGAATTGTAAGTTTCACTTCAAGATTTGATAGATAATAAAATGACACAATATAAACCATTTTAATAATAGGGATCCTATTCATTTCTATATTATGTAAAGAAAGGATTACTTGATAAAGTTGAGACTTTACTTTATTAAAATAGTCTTTATGCTTTTGACTTTGATGAAAAGTAGATGACTGGTCTTCACATTGCTACTTAAAAAAATAATTTAGAAATGATTAAGTTGTTAATCACTTACAATTCAAATCCACTCTCAAAAGATTTATAAGGATTTACTCCATTACATTATGCAATTAAACATCGCAATATATCAAGTATATAAGTATGTATTAAATTTTTATATATAAGCTTTTTTTATCCATAAAAGTTCCAACAGATGTTCAATATCCTGATTATTGTAAATTAACAGATGATATTTAAATTTTAAAAATAATTCGCTCAGCTAAGATTGATGATCTCATTAAAAGAATATCGAAAGATAAATCATTATAAATATACCTTAAATCAATAATATGATATTTTAAGTATTTTTAATTTAAAATATTTATCTGAATGATTTTAATATACTTAGTATTTAATTTATATTATGAATCAATATTCGGAAAAGTCTCTGAAGGCAATCGACAAATTAGATCAATTTTATTCGTTTTATGGATCAAATTCATTTTAACCTGAAATGCAAAGCATGTATAAATTTTTTTGGAATAACTTAGGAATTCATCCTAAATTGATTTTCAAGATCTATTAAAGATACTTTAAGGAGATAAAGAATTTTAGGAGTTCAATTTAGAAGAATAATTAAAGTTGAATAATTTATCTTTTAATGATGAATAAGTAGTCACCATACCTATTTCTTTTGAATCAAAAATTTATAGTGTTTCTACTGATATATTTTACAATTAACAGAATATTTGCTTAAAAAGCTATATAAAAAATGATAAGGGATCTCCTTTATATGCTTTTGATAAAGTATTTAATTAAAATTAGATATAAATAGAATAAAATAAATATCATTAGTTTTTATGCTCTCAAATAGAATGATAAGTTAAAGAACGGTAATTTGAGTATAGATCCATTAACTGGATTATTTTAATTTAAAACATTAATTATTATCTCTTTATTCGAAAACATAAGTTTTAGTAATTATTTTGTAGAAAGTTTGAAATTTCATATAAAAGATCATTAAGAAGTTATGAAAAATTAAGCCCCCTAGATACTTTATTTAATGAATAAAATATCTTATAAACAATTATGTCATTTTAATACAACTTTATTTTAGAATCAACAGGACAACCTTAATTAATTAAAAGAAATTTTTTAAAAGTAAGTTTAATTTACTATGTAGATAATTTTAAAATGAAATGAGTGATGAAGAAAAATAAAAGTATTTAGATTATCCTAAACCAAAAAGTTTACCCTTACTCACAAAAATTGAGGTTTAAGGAAATAGAGAAAATCTTTTAACAAATTTCAAATAAGAATAGATTTTTGCATAAGGAGGTTATGCTGAGATAAGAAAAGTTAAATTAGGTAAATATAAATGATTTGTTTAGGATATAATATAATTGAAAATAAACAAACGTTTACTCGTACTTTGGCATTAAAAACAGATAAAGAAGAGAAAAATTAGAATAAAGTTGAATGGGAACTTGATATATTGAAGAAATTGAGCTAAATAAACGAAAAAGGAATAGGAGAAGGATATATTGCTACTAGTTATTATGATGAAAAACTTGAAAAATGTTATTTTATGGAATTTTACAACAATGGATCACTTGATTAATTTATTAGTTCTAAATCAATTGTTATAAGTTTGAGAACAAAATTATTTATTTTGGCTGGAATAATAAATGGAGTAGATTTTCTTCATTCAGCAAGAATTGCTCATTTAGATTTAAAATTGGGAAACATTTTAATTCAAAAATAATTAATCCCAAAAATATGTGATTTTGGTGAAGCTAAAAACTTTGATGAATTGGATTAAAATAAAAACAACTTTTCTCGTACTATACCTTATGCAGCACCAGAATTGTATAATGACGAAAAAATCACTCCAGCATATGATATCTTTTCTTTTGGCATACTAATGTGTAATTTGATTTTTGAAATATTTCCTTTTGTAATAATAATTAAATTTATAATAGGATTATTACCCAAATGATTTATCAAATCTAGAATAGAGATATAAGGATAAGACATATAAAATAAAATAGACTCTAACAAAGCAGATAAAAACTGGACCAAAAAAAATAATGAAAATGATACTCTTTCTAATTAATTATTGTCTCTAACCAGATCCAAAATTAAGACCAAAACCAAAATGGATATTATCTATAATATGGAAAATGATTAATTTTATAGATAGCTTTTGATATTATAATATGTTTATAAGCTCTTTACAAATACTTCAAATTATAAATTTTATTTCTGTGATATGAATTAGAGATTAATTGTCAGAAGAAATCCACGTAGAGTAATAAGACATCTAAGATATTGTCCTAAAATGACAGTTGCATCTATAATGACAATTTAAAATCTTTAGGGATATCCTTCTTCTACTAAATTAGCTTTAAGTAAAAACGAGCTTTATTAATCTTTTACAATTTAATAAACTCCATAATCCTAAATGAAAAGATGTAAAACAAAACATAATTGAATTAGATTTGTCATTAGATGTTTAAAGATCAACATCACCTTAAACAATAATAAAATCTTCATCTCCAACAGTGAGAAAGTTTAGTTATCTATCTTTTTAAAAATCGACAATAGGATAAGAAAGTCCTGTTAAATAATAAGAGAGTATTTATCAAATTGAATATGCTGATGATACAGTTTATTATGGATAAATAAATATTACAAAAAAACATGGAATGGGTGCATTATATGATAAGAATAAAAATCTAATCTATTTGGGATAATGGAATGATGATAAATATCATGGTTTTGGGGTTTTAGTTTAAAAAAATTGTACTTACAAGGGTGAATTTATAAATGGTGTTCTGGATGGATAAGCAATAGAGGAAGGAAATGAAAGAAAGTTTTATGGATATTATAAAAAGGGATTGAAAAATGGACCTGGAACATTATATTAGCAATCAAAAATAACAAATGGAATTTGGAAAAATGATATTTTAGAACAAGAATGTTGATACTCTTATTTACATATTTTCAATTAATCCAAGTTATTATAGTTTAAATTATATTATTCAATTTTAATGATCTTACTTTTTAAATGTAAATTTGTTTAGAAATGTTGAAGCAATTTAAATTTTATTTTTTTATGATGTAAAATGTTAAATAAATGAGGGAAAAATACGAGAACATTAAATAACACAACCCAAATAGAAATGTTAGTTCAAGATCATTTCATAGTCAAACACCATCAAAAGAATAATATTAAGTAGCTTTTTCTAGTAGCTAATAATCACAATAAAAACAAATAATATAGATTGGAAAAAATTTATTATGTAGTCCTTGTTACAATAAAAGACTATTAAACAAATAATAATTGAATAAATAGTAAGAATTTGAATTGGAAAAAGTAAATCTACTATTATATTATAGAGACTATTGAAGAAATAAATGGAATAAAATCAATTACNCTAAGATATTGTCCTAAAATGACAGTTGCATCTATAATGACAATTTAAAATCTTTAGGGATATCCTTCTTCTACTAAATTAGCTTTAAGTAAAAACGAGCTTTATTAATCTTTTACAATTTAATAAACTCCATAATCCTAAATGAAAAGATGTAAAACAAAACATAATTGAATTAGATTTGTCATTAGATGTTTAAAGATCAACATCACCTTAAACAATAATAAAATCTTCATCTCCAACAGTGAGAAAGTTTAGTTATCTATCTTTTTAAAAATCGACAATAGGATAAGAAAGTCCTGTTAAATAATAAGAGAGTATTTATCAAATTGAATATGCTGATGATACAGTTTATTATGGATAAATAAATATTACAAAAAAACATGGAATGGGTGCATTATATGATAAGAATAAAAATCTAATCTATTTGGGATAATGGAATGATGATAAATATCATGGTTTTGGGGTTTTAGTTTAAAAAAATTGTACTTACAAGGGTGAATTTATAAATGGTGTTCTGGATGGATAAGCAATAGAGGAAGGAAATGAAAGAAAGTTTTATGGATATTATAAAAAGGGATTGAAAAATGGACCTGGAACATTATATTAGCAATCAAAAATAACAAATGGAATTTGGAAAAATGATATTTTAGAACAAGAATGTTGATACTCTTATTTACATATTTTCAATTAATCCAAGTTATTATAGTTTAAATTATATTATTCAATTTTAATGATCTTACTTTTTAAATGTAAATTTGTTTAGAAATGTTGAAGCAATTTAAATTTTATTTTTTTATGATGTAAAATGTTAAATAAATGAGGGAAAAATACGAGAACATTAAATAACACAACCCAAATAGAAATGTTAGTTCAAGATCATTTCATAGTCAAACACCATCAAAAGAATAATATTAAGTAGCTTTTTCTAGTAGCTAATAATCACAATAAAAACAAATAATATAGATTGGAAAAAATTTATTATGTAGTCCTTGTTACAATAAAAGACTATTAAACAAATAATAATTGAATAAATAGTAAGAATTTGAATTGGAAAAAGTAAATCTACTATTATATTATAGAGACTATTGAAGAAATAAATGGAATAAAATCAATTACTAGAATAATAAAAAATAAATTTCGAAGTTGGACAATTATCATACAGAAAACAATAGGAATAATAAAATCTTGCTATTTCGAAATAATTATAGGAATAATAAAGAGAAAGAGAAAAACTAATTAAGGAGTAAGAATTATAACAATAAAACTTAATTATAAAATAAAATTAAGAAATATTATAGAAAGAAAAATTTGAAAAAAAAAAGAAATAGAATAGTTTGCATTAAGAACTTGCAAGTTAAATTGAATAATAAAATAGATTTAAAAAGTAAGACTAATTATCTTAATCTATGGAGTATGATGATCCTTATTGGAGATATCAAGAATAAGAATAGAAAGAAATATAAAGAAGAAAAAATTATTAGATGATTTATAATAATAATAATTGGTAAAATCATGAAAAAGAGCAAATTAAGAAAAAATAACAGGAGAAAGATTTTAAAAATAAAGAAATTGATGAAAGAATTAAGACTTTATAGGATTATCATAATTAATTAGAATTAGAAAAAATAGAAAAATAATAAATATAACATTAACTTATATTAGATTTAAACGCATAAGTCAAACTTAAAAAAACAAAATAAAAAGCTATCAAATTAATTGAATAATAAAAATAGCGTCAAAGAGATTAAGAAGTTGTTTAATTAGAAAAATAAAGATAATAATAGGAAATTTGTAATAAAAAGAAAGTAAGTTAAGAAATAATAGAAGGTCTTAATAAGCAAGTTGAAATGTAAAAATAATAAAATACTAAATAATAACCAGAATCAATTAATAGTGATTTTTACATATTGAAACCAGTTGTTGAAAAGAAAACCATATCTTGTGCTGATTGTAAAAAACAATAGGTTCCAGAATAATTAAGTTATGCTTGAGCATAATTGTATAATATTTCACATAAATTTATTAAAATATTTTTGCTTATTAATTTTATTGAAGGGTTTAAACTGAAAAAGTTTTCTCTATAATATCACCCTGTTAAGCTTTCATTCAAATTAAGCTTCTTTTTTAACTTATATATATTAGATTTTTTTATGATTAATATAATAAAAGATTTTTTATTTATGATTTTACAAAAATTTTTGCATAAATTAAGAATAATTTGTTCAGAAAAATTAAGTGAAATTATAAAGTTTTAGAAAGATAATATTATTATCAAGGTTACTAATTATGTATTAATTATATAAGTTGTTTTATTTAGGTTATTTTTATTATGTTGAAAGAGCGTTGAATTTAGAAGGTTGTTATTTAATAAAAATGCTATCTGATTTAATAATTATTTTATATAAAATATCAGCCAATTATTAAATCTATTTTTATGTAAAGTCTGAATAGTTTTTAATATGATCGAGATAAAATTACTAATCCATAGGTTGAAACGACAATGACAAAATAAAACATATAAATAGAAAGTGAAACTTCTCTGTGTTTATTAAATAATAAGAAAGTTGAAATACCAAGCCCTTAGATTGGCTCTAATATAATATTCAAGCCATTTGCCAAATTAATATTATATTTCCATATTGCATCATTTGTGATTAGATTTTAGAGATATTTCAAACCAGATGGTTCATTTATGGATAAACATTTTGAAATAATAGGAGATAAAGGATCAGGTAATTCAAAAGATTTTTTAGCTTTTAAGTCAAAAAAGCCATCTCTAACTGTAGTAAATTTAGAATCGGTATCATGGAGGGTTCATTTTCCATATTTGTATCGCCAATATAAAAGAAAATTGGAATATTTAGCTATTAAATGCTTTAATTAAATTCCTTTAATTGAACCTACAAACAAAATAAAAATGATCTGGGATATTATACTCAATCTAATCAGAATTGATTTGCTATACCTTATTCCTATTCTTATAACTTATGAAAATTTATTAGATTAATATCACATGACTTTAATTATAGCTTCCTTCTGCTTTTTGATTGATATGGCATTAAAAAACATTACCATATACTTTGATTAAGGTTTACCTATAAGAGATAGATATCAAATATTACATAATTAGAATGCTTTCTTAAATTTAATAGAATTTTCAGGATTGTTTGGAATGTTTATATTCTCTGTTTTTTATAATTTTTATGAAGACATATTTATTTTAAATGGAGGATACCTTAAATTAGTACTTTTATTAGTATTCTATTAAATAAAGAATATATTAGTATTTATTGATAATCTGTCTTAATCTATGTCTTTTGGCAAAGCAACTTCAGCAATAATAGAATTAACAAGATTGCTTGGAACTTAATTAATTTTATAACATATAAGTTCATGTCTTTGGTATATTCTATTCTTATATAAAGGATAATTATTGGAAGATACTCTCTTTAAAGTGGAACCAAGAACTGGATAGAAATTAATCATTTAGCAGAGAGTAGTTGGGATGATATTTATATAGAATCCCTATATTTTATAAGCATATCTATGTTCACAGTAGGATATGGAGATGTACATCCCAATAGTAATTATATATATACTATGTTAAAGATAAAATTGAGAAAATATTTTCTATTTTTTTTGTGTTTTTGTGTGCCTTTTAACTTTCTTATAGCTTAGATACTATTGGACATCTATTGTAATAACTAAAAAAAACTAGTGAATAGATAAATAAAAAATTGACTTTCATCAATTAATATATGCATAATAAGAATATTAGCAAAGAATTGTAAGTTCAAGTTAGAGAATACTTATAATATTTTTGGTATTAAGAATAAACAAAATAAACATTATAATAACAAAAAATCTTAAATTAATTATCAGATGATTTAAGAAGATCTCTAGCATATGAATCCAATATTCTAGTATTTAAGAAATGTAAATTATTTAATCAAGATTTTACATAAAAATTTTAAAACGATCTATTAAAATAGTTATCTTTTTAAAATTATTAACCTAGTATATAAATAACTACACATATTGATGGAGAATTCTTTTTGCATATAATTGAATCTGGATAAGTTAACGTTTATGAAAAAAATGAAAAGGATAATTAATTAACATTGCTTGGATCTCATAAGGAAGGAGATTGCTTTAATTTAGAATAATTTCTTAAATAAGAGAAATAGGATAGATTAGTTTACAAAAGTGGTGGTTTTGTTAGTACTTTAGTAATCCCTTTCAGTTTATTTTATTAAACACTACAAGATTATCCTAATGATTTAGAGAAATATTAAGATATTAAAAATTAAATCTTATTAACTCATATTTAAATGAAATAATGTGTTTCATGTGATTCTCGAAGGCACCAATCTGATTCATGTAGATAAGTACATTATATACCAGATAGAGAGAAAGTCTTAAAATCATATATTTTTAATTAATATTAAGAAAGATAGTTTTTTGTAAGAAATAGAAGTAGATTAAAAAATTACTTTAGTGCAAAAGTTGATGTACAATTTTTGAAAGAGGCTGCAAATTTAATAAAAGTCAGCAATGAAAGCCATGCATTTTTGAAATTTTAAGATCCAGAAGAGTTAATAAACGAAGAGAGCAAACCTAATCTTAAAATCAAACACGATGTTGATTCTATTTCCCTTTTAATTAAAGATTTTGAGAGTAAAAGCTATATACCAGATGCAATTTCAGAATTAAAATTATAATAATCCTGTTCGCGATCAAGAGGGTTGAATTAAGAAGAATTCAATGTTCTTTAAAATCTTAATTAAAAATTAAGAAATAAATAATTATTTAGTACTCATGATATAGAACAAATGGAATATACTATAAAAAAACTAGAATTAAATTACAATCATCAAATAATTTAAGATTTCGAAAAGCTTAAAGAGTATAGAATTTATAACATCAATCATAATGTTTCTTAAGTATTAAAGTTCTAAAACTTACCTCTAAGAAAAGTTTATTATAATAATTCTAATAGCTATGAAACTTGTTAACTAAGCTAAGCTAGTTATTTATTAAAATACTTATTATATCCATTTGATTTTATAAACTAATATAGAGTTACTAATTAAAATAGTATGAAGAGAAGTGAAAAGATTTCGAAAGTCTAATAACGGCAAAGAAGAATGTCAAAAGAGCTTTTATTAAAAAGAATAGGTAGAAAACTTATTTTTAGAAAAGCATTGCAGATTCATCCTGCAAAGTGATATAATCTACAAGTTCACAAAAATAAAAAAAATAATGATAAATAAATCAAAATATCTAATTATATAAAAAATCAAAAAGCATAATGATTTTTCATTAAATAAAAAATGAATTTGACTAACATATCCGATATTTCTTAAATTTCACATTGCTAATTAATGATCTAAGAAGAGTCTTAGCCTGGTTGCAATAATTCAAATATTGACCATTCTATTCCTGATTAAAATTTTGGATTTCCAGCTATTTAATTAGAAGAGCTAAAAAAACAAGATTAGATATAAGATTAATAAAATAACACATATGTTTGTGAAGTTTAGAAAAAACAATTTTCTTAATTAATGGTTCACTTTAATATTCAACATTTTAAAAGAAAAATGCTGTCATACATTCATCCAATAAAAGAATTATCAAAAGAATAGTTTAATATGATTTCTGATAAATCTTCATCATATAAAACTTACCCAAAAAAATAATTACAATAAACATTATTAATTAAAAAGAATAGAGCAGTTTTGGGATTTTAGAGTATAATTAAAGATTGTAATAATGCATTGAAGGTATAAACGAAAAAAAAATTAATGTAATTCATAGATATGATGCCTTTAATACATCCACATACAACATAAAAATTAATTTGGGATGGATTAATTACTATAATGAGAATATATCTATTGATTTGGATTCCAATTTTAATAGCATTTAAAAATGGTACTCTAGAAGATTTGAATGCATATACTCTAAATGTTTGTAGTAGTGCCTTTTTAATAGATTTGGCAATGTAAACATTCACGATTAAATTTGACAAGGGTTTTCCTGTAAAAGATCGGTATTTACTATTGTAACATCAATTAAATTGGTGGGCTGCTATTGAATTTTTCAGTTTTATTATATCCTTATTTTTCAGTATTTAATTTCACTAAGATAATTATTCAATGTCAGTAGTAGAAGATAAAGGGTGGACAAAAATACTATTATTATTATTAATAGTTTAAACAAAAAATATTTTGCAATTTATCGAAAATTTATAATATGTAATTAAGCCAAGCAAAACAGTAAATTCTTTAATAGATTTAATTAAGTTTATTTGTTTAGTTTTATTAATTTAGCATATATTTGCATGTATATGGTATCATATTTAATATTTTTAAAAAGGGTAATTGTTGGAACTTATGAACACTTAAAAACTAAAGTTTCATGGTTAGATACCGCTAAATTAGATATAGATTAACATTGGATGGATATATATATGGAAGCTTTATACTTTATAAGTGTTACAACTTTTACTGTTGGATATGGAGATATTACACCATAAAGTACTATTGAATATCAATATCTATAGATACTTCTGAAAAATGTTTTACAATTATATATATGTTCTTTTGTACATTATAACTCTCTTATTCTGTTAATACTATAGGATCTATTTTGTTGTAATTAAAAGAGAACAATGAAGAAATAAAATAAAAAATAACTTTAGTTACTGAATATATGAAAAATAGATAAATGACTCGAGGATTATAATTTAAGTAATTAATTTAATTTACCATCTTATTAGAGTTAGAGAATATTTAAGTTATTATTGGTAGCAAGAAAACATTTAAAAAAAAACTGAAACAATTGAAATTATAAAATTATTGCCTGATGAGCTTTAAAAAAGTATCTAAAGAGAAGGAATTACTAATTTATTAAATAAGTGTAAATTTTTTAAACAGAAATTCACTCCTGGATTTTTAAATTAATTAATAGATATTGCTTCTGTATAAAGTTTTTAGCCAGGAATAGTAATCAATGATTTACAAAATATTTATATAATTGAATATGGATGTGTAGAGATATTATAAAATTAAGTAATATTATTATTTTAAATTTTTAGACAATTGTTGCACAATTAGATTAATTTTAATAATTTGGATTAAAGAAAGTTGGTATAGAATTTTAAAACGAAACAAAATATCGTACAAAAGTATTTACAAATTTACTTATAATTCCATATTCATCTTTAGTATAATTAGTTGCTTAAAATCCGAATGAATTGGAAATAGATTCTGAAAATAACCTTAATATTATGACTGAATGCTTAATATGTAAAGGTTCTCATAATACAGAATTATGCACTTAAGTACACTTTATTCCAGAAAATGAAAAAGTTATTAAGAAATATTTATACAATTCCTTTTAGAATAGAGGAAGGCTTAAAAGAAAACAAAAAAATTATTAATAAGATTGGAAAAATGAATTAAAGTTTTTTTAAGATACAGCTGAATAGCTTTAATAAGATTTTAATAATGAAATTGAACTTATTTTTCCTCCTAATGAAGAATAAAAGTAAATTAATGTTATTACACCTCGTTCCTAATTTGAAATAAATGATGAAAACCCTAAATCTATTTAAATTAATATGGCTGTTGTATAAAGAGGTGAAATTGAATAAAAATTTGAATCTAGAGAACCTAATAAGAATGAAAAAAAATCAGAATCAAAAAATGATATTGAAAATTTATAACTATTTCATCAATTCGAATCCGTTTCTTAAAAGTTCAAATAGATTTTGTTTTTTAATGAAAAAGTTCAGGAAGATATATTTCTACTTTTTAAAAGATTAGAATGCATTTTTGGATAAAATGAATGTGAAATTGATAGATATAAAAGCTATAAAAATTATTAAAAGAGTTGGAATATTGAAAGAATAATATTAGAATATAATTTTGCTTCAAATTATTTATAAAATCGAAAAATTGAAAAAATGAGTTTTGAGTAGATATCAAAATACCTATTATTCCCAAAATTATACATAAAAAAATATAGGACTGAGAAACCTCCTGAAAGTTTATAATAATCTCAAATGAAATAAAGTAAAAATAAATTAAATCTTAGATGTACGAACTTTAACAAAAAAGAAGAGAATTGCCATTCATCCAGATTTTTGATTATTTAATTATTTATAATTTTATAATGGATTAAAATTAAAACATCAGTCGTTGCACTCTTATAGTAAATGACATTTAAAGTGAATCTAATAACAATATTGATCATTCAATTATTGGAATAGATGAATCTATTACAAAATAAGTAGATATAATATAGAATATGAAATAAAAGACTAGATTTGAATAAACAGATATTAATATTTCATTTCAAAATTTGTAAAGTAATTAAACTAGTTCAATTTCACCTAAGTAGAAATCCTTTTCAAAATTATTGATTTATTTTCATTCTACAAAATATGCGAATAAAATGCTATAATTAATAAGACCAAATCAAAAATTTTCAAGGAAACAATTTGAAATAATAAGTGATTCTGCATCCTCATATAAACATATGAAAAAATCATAAAATATTACAACAAATATAGTTAGATAGCATTTATACTTAATTGATTTCAGAATAAAATTTAGAATGAAATATAGAGCATTTAAAACTTAATTAAAATAACTGTTACTTCGATTCTTTTCCTAAATTCCCTTAATCGAACCTTAAAGTAAATTTAAATTATTGTGGGATTTATTATTGAGTGTATAGAGAGTATATATGATAATATGGATGCCAATTGTAATATCCTTTCATTCTAAAGAAATAGAATAATATCATAGTCTTTATATAATTATAGCGTGCTTATTTTTTATTCTTGACGTAATTCTGAGAGCATTTACAATTTGCTATGACAAAGGATTACCTTTGAAAGACAGATTTGAACTTGTTAAAAGATAATTGACATTATCAACCTGTCTGGAATTGTTTAGTATTTTTTGTGGAATCATAATGGCCTTATCATTTTTAACATAAATAGAGAGTCCATATATATTAGAGGAAGATGGTTGGCCTAGAATAGTACTTTTATTATTCTATTAATAAATAATGAATCTTTTATAATTTTTTGATACTATTTAGCATCAATTAAAATTAAGTAAGTTGAGTAATTCATTTATTGAATTACTTAAATTAGTATTCTTAATTTTATTAATATAACATTTTTGTTGTTGTATTTGGTAAGAATAATAATAAATTAAGGGTGGTGATTGGTGAATATAAATAAAGATAAGATTCAATGAATTGGCTTAAAAGAGTTGAAGGAGAACCTTGGCAAATTGTTTATTTGGAATCATTTTATTTTATGAGTGTTACAATGTTTACTGTTGGTTATGGAGAGATTGTTCCAACAAGTAAAATTAATAAATAAAATTTAGATCCTATTGAAAAGATATTTTGTATTTGTTATATGTTTCTATCAACAATGTAGCTTTCTTTCTCTGTTAATACGATAGGAACTATATTGACTTAAATAAAAGAAAATAATGAGAGGATAAGATAAAAAATGACTTGTATAAATGTTTATATGAGAGAAAAATAAATTAGTTAAAGTTTGTAATATAAGTATATTTTAATTTAAATCTAGAGTGAGAGAATATTTTAATTTTTATTGGGAATAAGAAATTATATAAAAAAAAAATGAATAATCTGATTTGATTTAATTATTACCAGAAGAATTATAAACTAATCTTAAAATTGAATCTGCTTAAGTCTTGCTAAATAAATGTGATTTTTTTAAGAAATTCTTTTCCTAAAAATGTTTACAAATGCTTCTTGAAAAAGTTGAATTTAGAACATATCAACCTGGTATAATTATTGAGAATAATGATCTTAATATTTTCATTATTGAGCAAGGTCTAATTGAAGTTAAATAATAAAAGGTATAAATTTATAAAATTAAAAAGAAATAATTATGTTATTTAAAGGAGAATGATTATTTTGGTCATTTGGAGATGAAAAATAATTAATCATCGACATTACAATATAAAACAGCATCATTTTGTAGTATGTTAATAATTCCAAATAAAGGAATAAGGGAAGTTTTATAAGAAAATGAAGTTGATTAGGAATAATTTTAAAAAAAAAAAGATATTATGTATTGTTATGTTTGTTTGGACAAAAATCATTTAAGTAATGATTGTAGCATGGTTCATTTTGTTCCAGACAAAGAGAAAGTCATAAAATAATACAATTTTATATAAGATTAATATCGTGATAATTATTAAAGATCAAGAAATAGACATCATTTTTCTGCTTCTCAAGATTAGGAATTAATTTTAAATTCAGCAAAAATTTATTAAATAGAAAATGATCAAATAATTGAATAAATAGTTCCAACAATGTTTTATGAATAAAAATAATAACCATAATAATTAGATGAGTAATAAAATAATGAAAGATTTTATTAAAGTGATGTAAGTTATAGGCAAAGCAAATATTTATGTAAAGCTTAAGCTTCAATAAACATGTTAAGAACATAGACTATTGATATCTTAATGAATGATTATGGAGCGAAGGAAATGTATGAATAGATTAAATAGAAATATTAAAATATTCATAAATACACATAGTAATAATAAAAGGATTTGTAATTGCTATATAAATAGTTGAGTAATAAGAGAGAGGAAGATTTGGAGATTTGTGATAAAATGTAGAATTAAAAATGTAATAGAGAATGGAATTTGGATAATATTGTTAAGAAAATAAATAGATGTTATAGACAAGAACATTTTAAAGCAGTGATAGAGTAATTTTAGAAATATATGTTGTATCCAAATTTGTATGTATCTTTGTATAAGAGGAAGAGAGTAAGAACATAGGAGGAGGAGGAAAGAAGAAATGCATCAGTTATTATAGAATAATATAAATAAAGTAAATATATAAAGATTATGTGAAAGATCTCAGAAATCTAAAAAGAAGAAATGGAAGGATTGTACCTTAATTAATATTTAATATAAATTAATGAATGACAATAGGTAAAAAGATCTTGAGAGTCCAATTTTCTCAGTTGTTTGTTTTCCTGATTCTGTTTTAGTGAGTTTAGGAGGAGGAGGAAAAAAATATGGATTAGTTAATAGTTTAGTATTGTTTCAATAATCATATTCAGCAATTATATCCAAAACCAATATATGGAATATTGAAAGATCCTATAGATACTTTATAATTAGGAGAGGAGATATTCTAAAGATTAAGATTGAACAATAAGACAGGATTAATAGTAGGAAATAGTGATGATTAATGTGTGATATTAAAAGTTTAAGATAAGAAGATCTAATTAATAACTAAATTTTAGACTGACAGAGCAGCTAAGGAACCTTGTTAAAATGATGGTCTATTTAATTATTAAGGAGATTCTTTAGCAACAGGAGGAGAAGATGGAATTTTGAAGGTTTGGAATAAAGATTATTAATTGAAATACTCAGTAGATATGAAAGGCAAAATTTAATCATTAGATTATCATGTATCTAATGGAATGGTATATCTAATTTTGACAATAGCTAATTGTGGCCACTGATAATGAAGAATGTAAAATATTAAAAGAAAACCACGTGTTACATAAATTAGATATTTCATCAAATAATATTCATAAATTACAATTTCATTCTGCTATCTTTTCATTAGATGGAACTACTATATTTACGTTTAAAAATCCTATGAGAGGACCTTCATATATGACAAGTTGGAGAATAGAAAATGATATTATAAAACCATTAAAAACAATAAAGGTTCATGGACATCCAGTAGTTAGTACTTGTTAATCAAGAGAAGGCATGTTCATTGGAATTGGATGTTCAGATGGAACTGTAAAAATAATAAATTCTAGGTATAATAGAAATTAAACATTTAGAAAATTAGATATTGAATCAAGTAAATAAGCTCATGAACTTCCATGTACAGCCTTATGTTTTACTCCTGATTCTAGATTTATTATTTCAGGATCAGTTGATGCTAAATATTATTTTCTATAAAATAATAGACCTTAAGGAACATTTTCTTTACTATCAAAATTCTGGCTATTTGGTATGTTATTAGCATACTTATTTATTGTAATCAGAGACTTATTTGAATGAGAGTTATTAAATATTATTTAATTGTCTTTTATTATTATTACATAAAAACTAAATATTAAATGCATAACAGAAATAAAACAAGCAAAGGATAATCATAACCTTTAATATAATTAACTATTGATTTAGGAAATCATAAATGTGATAGGATCACTCTCTATAGAGATACAGATCCCTTTTTAGAAGCCAAACAATTTGTTTCAAGAAATCATCTTTCATAATAAATGGTTTAAGTGATATCTAATAGTATTATAAAACAAATGAAAGCTTATGATGAAATTATGATGATAACGTATGTAATTTAATCAATAATTTAAGGACACATAAACAGAAACAGATTATTTGCATAATTTAAAATAATATCATAATGAATTATAACCTAATTAAAGAACTCAAAGTCCTAAAAGATTTCATCCTAGTCCTAAATAAATCCATCAACAAAATCTATCTAAAAGTCCATCAAATATATCTTTACATGATGAATTACCTACTGATAAAGTTGTTGTGAAGAAACTATTCTAAATTTTAGATTCTGATTAAGATGGATTAATATCTGCCAATAAAGTTAATTATAATAAATTACCAATCTAGTTAAAAAATAGAGTACATTATCAATATAATATAGATTACTATTTATTTGGAATAATCTTTAATTCCTTATGAATTTGAAGAGTTATATGAAAAATTAAAAAGCGATTCAAAAGAAGAATACTTTATTACTTTAAAATTGATAAGTTAAATTTTAGATATTCCAAAAATTAAAGTACTAATTTGAGTTATTTTCAATCATATAAAGAATAAATCATTAAACAACTTGCAAATATTGCAAATTACACTAAAAATTTTCTAACTTTTTTTCTACTTTCTTCATATAATTATTTAGATTTATATCCAGTAATTAAAGGATCCATTAAGTTCATCCAAACAATTGGAAATTGAGCAATCATTATACTAACTAAATATCCACATGGTAAAATAGGACTATTTGGATCTATTTCTAATATTTGATATGGTTTTGATGGATATTTATGATGATCACTATGTCTTTATAATTTAAATAACAAATGATTAGTAATTCTATGAGGGGCATTCCATGAATGATGATCACTTATTTATTCATATTAATTATTTTCTAATAATTTTCTTCTTAAACCATAATGTTCTATATAATTTGAGGCTTCTAAATAAGCTATGCTTTAATAAACTTATATTAAAAATAATATAAATCCTTTGATTGAGTATATTTTATAGATAAATAAACACATTAAGATATTTAAGATTGTATATCTTTACATTTTATCTTTTTATTTCCAAGCTTCCTTCCATTATACAACTATTGCTTTTGGAATAAATGAATGTAAAGATTAACCTTTTTCAGCTGATACTGCATCTAATGGAGTACCAACATATCTATGATGAGTGAACACATGTTCAATATTATAATGACAGTATAAACTTTTCACCAAAGTATAAGTTCCTAAGAACTTATCTAATAATGTGTCTTTATGCAATAATTCATGTCCAACTGTAAAATTATTTGATGAAAGTCCTCCCCATATAGATATTAATCCTATTGTCTAAATTTAAATGTATAAATATTACATCAAATAACGAAACATCATTTTAAGTCAGGTGATTCAAAACAGTAAACATTAAACACCAATCCAATACAATTACTAAGTATAATGGAATTTTATAGAACATATCATCTTCTAATTCTTTAGTTTATTTTGGATTATAAAAGTCATAAGCAAGTATCTCATCCAGCAAAGGGATTATTACATATATTGACCATAATATTATCCAAGGATTATCAATAAATGTGATTGTAATTATCTATAAGATTGGAACTATATAGTATAATAATTTGCTTTGCATAAATATAATTTTAATTGATTATGTATATAAATTTATCATAAATATCATATATATTATTATTGCACATCTACTCAGATTCCATAAGATTCCATAAAGAATTTCAAATTTGAAATAATTGATGGATATTTGATTGTCAGATGAAAATATTATTATTTTAATTCATTTATTTATAGTTATTTCAGAAGTAGTTTAAAATTTATTACTTCTTTCTTTTTAATTAAATTGAATTCTTTTTATCAATATTTCTATTTATGAAAATGAAGAAATCAAATGTTATATTATATTAGGTTTGATCAAATTTTAACATATTTTAATTAATTTAGCATTTCTTTTTTTATGAATATTTTTCTATTTAGTTTGATTTATTTATACAATTTAAATGGTATGTATGAACTCAAATTTTACTTAATATCATAATTATAAAATAAGCTAAAGAATAGTATATAATTCTTGACTTAATTTCTATAAATAATATGCAAAACATTAATTATCAAGAGAGCAAATTTTAGTTTGAATGTTTTAGAAAACATCTTCTAAAAGATGTTCTGTATTATGGATACCTATTCTAAAACTATCTAATTTTATCAACAGTAAAGAGATTACTTATAAATAATAGATAAAAAAGGCATAGACACCAAAATATCAGGTGCCATTATTATTAACTACTTAAATACATTTCATTACTAAATAGCCTACATATGAAGTTGAATAGTTTGGTTTTTTATACAAAGAGTAATTCAAATATTTTTATGCAAACCCAAATATTATATTGTAACTTAAAGAACTTATGGCTTGTAAAACAATGTTTAAAGAAATAAGTGATTTTTATTAACCAATAAGTATGTTGGGTAGAGGAGGTTCTTCAAAAGTACATCTTTGATTTACCGTTTAGGTTTATTTAGTGATGAAAAAAAACTCTAAAGATCAGTTTGCTTCTAAATGTGTCGATAAAAAATATTTAATAGAAGATGGTGGATTTGTAATCATTTTATTTTAAATATAGAACGGATTATTTAATGAAATTTAACTTATGTAAAAGATGAATCATCCAAAAATAATTCATTTAGAAGAACTTTATGAAGGGGAAAATACATTTTATTTAATTTTAGAGTATTTATAAGGTTAGAGTTTACATGAATCATTTAATAAGAGACAAGTATTATTTGAATAAGAATAAATATAAATTATTATGTTTGTAAAATTATATTAATAATTTTAGCAACTTTTGACAGCTGTTTAATATATGCATTCTTTAGGAATTATGCATAGAGATTTAAAACCTGAAAATATTATGTTTAAACATCAAAATGCTTATGATGAATTAAAAATAGTTGATTTTGGATTAGCAACATCAGTTTAGGCTGAAACTTATCCATATCCTAAATGTGGAACTCCAGGTTATGTTGCTCCTGAAATTGCTAATCTAAAAGATTTAAATTAAAAATACGATTTAATATGTGATCTATTTAGTGTTGGTTGTATCTTTTATAAATTGTAAATACAGTTTAATTTTTTAGATTGACAGGCAAAGAATTATTTCCAGGAACAGATTACTAAGAAATTTTAAAATTAAATAAAAAATGTTAAATAAATTATGAACTACTTACTTTATATAGAGCACCAAAAGAAGCCATAGAATTAATAGCATTATTATTAAAGATTAATCCTAAAGAAAGAATATCTGCTTAAGCTGCTTTAGAACATAATTATTTTTTATTAAAATTTTAAACAAAAAGAGCTAAATTTCAATAAAATAATAATAAATACACACCAATCTTTTAAACATAAAACTTTAATCCAAAGGACAATCATGAAAAATAAAATTATCATATTGAAGATGACATAGTTGAAGATGAAAATGCTCATTCTCTTAAAGTACCTGTTATGTAAAATATGAAAACATTCGGTTAATTTGTTTGTAAAATTAAACAATAAGTAACACCTACTTTAGCAAGAAGAAACTTTAAAAAATTTTAAACATCAGATTTTAATTCTGCATTATCACCAAACTCTCCTAATCCACTAATAATTGAACATAAACCATCTTTAATTATTAATGCTTAAACTTAAGAAATAATTAATGAAATTCATACAAAAAATGAACATTAAATTAACTAAATGGGGTAAATAGATGAAGAACAAGAAGAATAATTATAATAAAATATATGATATTTTATTTATTCATATATTTTTATTTTTGTAATACAAAAATTTATTATCAATCTTAATAAACCCCAAATATTTTAATATATACAAAAGAATATTAATCTTAATATATATATATATTAAATTATAATTTTAAATTTAGGAATGAATAGTTAGAATTTCTTAATAAAGATTGATATAAATTAAATATCTAAAGCTATCAATACAATGATTCATAAGTTGTAGTTCTAGGACCTTAACTTGTTTTTAATTCTAATTATTTGTACATTTATATATACTTCTTGATGAAGATTGACTATTAAGAGTTCTTTTAACTTATTCTTAAGCAGCTAATAAATTCAAATCATCATTTGTTCCTACTATATTTTAAATATTTAACTTGTTCTTCTTTATAAATTTTCTCGATATTTTTTAACTTTTTCTATATCACTAACCCAATTTTTTCTAGAATAAGCTGAACTTGCAGACTATAATCGTTTTAAAATTGTTTAATTCTCTGAACATATTTTATTTTACTCTCTTTTTCTTAGATTTTCTAAAGAACCATGTGTTGGTAGTTACTTAATTGTTGAATTTCTTTCTTGAATTTCCATCATCTTTCTTAGTAACTTACTATTAGTTTCTGATATTTCTTTTTCATGAGCTCATATATAATTTAAAAATCTTACTGTTTGTATATTTATTAACCAACCTAGATATTGAATGTCCTGGTTTCCATGGCTATGAATTATTAATTAAAGGCTTAGAGTTTTAGAGGTTGTTTAAATGCATTAATTATTCCTATTATCAAATTAAGAACAATACCTAAGCAATTTTTTTCTTAAAACATATAGGATTTGAATGAATTAAGTTCCACATTATAATAATTAATTACTTGATTTACCTAAAACTAATAAAATATTTTTGGAAACACAAACTAAAATTTAAAAAGCTTTTATGATATTATGAGTTTACGATAAATATAGTTATCTAGTATATATATCATTTTATGAAAACAAGTTATGAAAATATTAAAATCAAATTATGTGATAAAAATTTATAATATTGAGATTGACAACAGATTAATTACTATATTTAAATGTTCTCTATCATATATTTCAGATATTTAGTTTGATATGGCAGTTTAATATATATTTATGAAATCTATAATGACTTATTATAAATATGAAATTAAAATTCATATTTTTTATTAATTGTCAACTTATTCCCTTAATTGTTCAAGTTCGACAATTTACTCATTTCCTAGATTATTTTCTTTTAATTATTTGAGATGTTAAGTTATTTTCTTTTACATTAATTAAAATCTTTTTCTTGCATTATTTTTTGGTGACTCTTATGAAGTTGTTTACTATTACAGAATTTTTTCAGAATCCAATTTAAATTTTAAAGCAAAAACTTTGCTCATCTCTTCTGGTGTTTAAGAATCTATCAAAAGTTCTTCAATATATCCTGTTTCAACTCTAAATAACCAACCATGAACCATAACAGCTAAAATATAAATGAATAATAGTACGATTTCCTTTTTGCCAAGATTTTTATATGATTGGATTTTTCCATATATTCATTACTTGAGCTCTAATATTCAATGAACTTAAACAATTCACTTTCTCATCTTCATTATCTAATGATTCAATAAGATCCTAGTGCTTTTCATAAACTATTTTAATTTGATTCAACCATAAATCCAGCAACCCTCCCACAGAGTCTTATTTCATTGCAGCCTTAATTCCACCACAACAAGTGTGACCCATTACAATTATACTATGAATATTAAGATGTTCAACAGCATATTAAATTACACAATTCAACTTTTTAAGATAATATATGTAATTACATTTAAGTCTGTTGGTATTACTAAATTAGCTATATTTCTATGGATGAAGATTTCTCCCGGATCTGTCTCTGTTAATTCATTCGGAGGAGCTCTTGAATCAGAACATCCTATTAGTAAATACTTTGGACTCTAGCCTTATGATAACTTTTTAAAGTATTAATCATCAATTGATAGTTTTTTTTACACATATCTCTTATTTCCCTCTAAAACTCTGTTATAGTGATTAATCTCTTAGATTGTATTACTTACAATTTGTTAATTCATAGAAAAATATTATCAAATCAAAAATTCGACATCAAAATAAATATGAATATCAATTCACATTATTTTATGGAAAATATCTCACATATTAAACCATTCAATAAAATTAATATCATTTTAATTCAAAATTAAAATTACACTATATATTTAATTACTACTATTATTGAATTTCATTGTAGATTCAAATTATATAAATAAAATAAATATTTAACAAGTTAAATTTTATGTAATATGTATCTAAAACTTGATGAATCATATTATTTGTTTACTCAAATATCATTAAAGTATTGACTTCATTTGATTACTGAAAAAATTAAATGATATTTAATCAAAAAGACATAAAATTCTTTTACTGAGATTGGAGAAATTAATACATCAAATAAAAATTATTCCAATATCCAAAGCCATTATTTATAATTTCCGATAGTTGAAGCATTAGTTAAAATGCAACTCTAAAAAAAATTAGAAGTGAGAAAATTAAAAAATAACAAATAAATTGTTTAAGTAATAAAAATTTAATGTGTTTTGAAATTAGACTCTGAAAAAATTTTGAACATTTTTTAAGAAATTTTTTGATTTAATTTTTTTAGTTTTTGATTTAACCAAAACTAAGCATATGGAAATGATGCCCAAAAATGGGTATTAAATAATAATTCATTGAAAATAAAGATTTAGAAAAAAATTTTAAATAAAAAACTAAAAATAAGCATAAATAGAAGTATCTATTTAAATCTAATTCTTTAATAAAGAGAGAGGATAATTTTGAAAAGATTAGAAATTAGAAAAAAATCAAAATAAATGTACATCTAATTCAAAATTTATAATAGCAAATATGCAAAAAAAGTAGAAGCTTTGTTAATTATTATGAGTAAAAATTAATCTTCAAAAATAATAGGAAAAGCACTAATTTGAAGTAAAAAATGATTAAAAATATTTGAGAGTTAAATTAGAAGTATTTTTAAAGCTTCATTATATTTCTAATTAATGACTGTAATTTTTACTTTTGATTTATAATCAAAATATGTGATTTTATTTAATATAAAATAAATGACATCTACTTAAAATTAATTAGTATTTCCTCCAATAGGATAACATATAAAGGAATTATAAGATTAATTGAAAGAATCTGTTATTTAATATAAAGCAGATAGATATAAAGAATATAAAGAAATTAAAAAGTAGAGATCGAAAGAAATTAATGAATAAAATAAATATAAGATCTTTCATAGAAAAGGTAGAAGTGTATAATTAAATAATTTAGTATTCAATTCTTAAAGTAAATAATTTGGTGGTATATTTGAGAGAGAAAAAGATATTTATTTATGCAAAGAACCTTTAATAAATGATTATCTGAAATACCATATTATTGAGCCATAAAGAAATTTAGAAAAAGGTCTAATAGAGAGTATATAACAATGTTTAATTTAGTTAAAACTGGGACAAAAGAGTTTTATGATGGTAGTTGTTTTGGTGAAGTTCCATTATCAAAATTAGGAGAAAAAGAAAAAAAATTAAGAGAATTTTGGATAAAAGAAGGGGAAAGATAGGCAAAGATTAAATTCAAAGCTTTAATAGAATCTTAGACAGGAATTTAAAAAAAAATAAATCAATCAAAAAGATTATAAGAATTAAAGGTTTTTATCCCAAATAAATTCAGTCTCGATTTATTTGATGAACATCCATCATAAATATTAGCATTAACGTAAATAAAAATAAAATAAATTTATTAGTCAATTACATTAACATTCAAAAACTATGAAATGGAAACCAAATAGTTTTTATGGGGAAGTATTCGATAATAGTTTCTGCAAGTAATCAGATTAAAACAAATCTATTTTATAAGATATTGAAAAGACAGATTAATAAGAATGAAACATAAATAAAAATTCTTTTAATAACATTTGATAAATTTTCAGTCTTTTTTTGCATATTTCATTAAAGGATTATTTTCAGCTTATTTGGCAAATCTTGAAGGTTTGATTTATGGTGATGGTTAATATTAATTATTTTTCTTTGTAGGAGTTCCAATTGATTATGCACTATCAACTGAATCAACTTTTCCTTTCAACAATGGTGAGTCATGACCTACTGCTTTATTTGAATCAATTTATTTTTATTGCTAAATTTGTTTTTACATAATTAAACCTGGAGATTGCTTTGGTGATAAAAGAGGAGAATTAATATTCCTTGAAGCATCAAATTTAGAATACCTAAATAAAATAAATAGGATTACTCATCATTAATTTTATTCATCATATTTTGAACATCATTACCCTCATCAACTTCGTCAATGTTTTATGAATCTTCTTTTTCAGATTCGAACATTTATTTTGTCATTTCAGATAAAAAAGTGTGATGTAAACATTTATCAACATTTAATCTTTTTTTTGGTTCTTTTTCTAACATTTACTTTAATAAATCAATAGCAGCTCCTGGTGCATTTTAAAGTTGTTTGATTTCAAAATCTATATTAGCTTCTCTATTTTATTTAACAACAGTAGCATAACTTTTTCCATTAAATGCTGGTTTACCAGATAATAATAAATAAAACACTAATCCCAAACTATAAATATCACAGATTGATGAATATTTAGATTTCATATCCTTTATATTAATAACTTCAGGTGCTACATAACCAGGAGTTCCACATCTACAATATAAATAAACTGGTTCATTAACATGAGTTGCTAAACCAAAATCAGCTATTACTACTGTTTCCATTTTCCTAATAAATATTTTTATTAATTTATACTTTGGAGTTTTAAATAATATATTTTCAAGTTTTAAATCTCTATGCATTATTTCTTTTTTATGCATTTCCTACAAACCAATTAATATTCCCACCATTATTTATTGTATTTATTTTATATTAATAGGAACTTTATCTTTGATCAAATCAAATAAGGATCCTCCTTCCAATAATTCTAAAGCTACATATAAAGAATTCTATGTTTCATAAACTTCAAATAATCTCATTAAATGTTTGTTTCGTAATTTCCTCATTATTGCCAATTCATTTAAAATGGCTTCTTTCCCATTCTCTTCTGCATATGCAGCCTATTTTGCAAAAGCTTTTATCGCAAATTCTTCTCCATCTTCTATTCTTTCAGCCATATAGACCTTTTATAAAATAACTATTCATACTGAAGCAAAATTTCCTTTTCCAATTTTTTTATAAACTCTAAACATATGATGAAACTGCCATTAATTAATTCTTGGACTTAAGTATTATCTCCATTCTAATATTAATTTTGCTGAAGCACTTAATTTATAGGTAGGCATTATTTCAGCAATATCTCTTAAAAATTAAATTCCTATTATTGGCCCAAGTGAATCGTCATCTTCATCTTTTTTCTAAACTGCTTATCTTACTATTTCAAATTTAGTATCGAATTCTAACTTTATACACTTTTTCATCTACCCATCCTTCTAATTAATTAACGAAATTGATTTACCTTAACGCATACGACGTAATGATCATAACCATAAAGTAATCTAGATTTCCCATTAGGTTTTGTGAATTCCCCTTAGATAATTAGATGATCTTATTTTGGTTTAAAATCATTTGGAATAGGAATCCACAGTTTTTAATGCATCAAATATTGAATTAATATTAATTAAAGCAATTGTGGTAATGCTTTTGTATAAATAGTTTAAAAATTAACTATTCTCTCAATCAAAAACCTTTAGTTATAAGTATTTAAATAAGTAAAAATAAAATTTTATGAGAATTTTCATTAATAATTATGTAAAATGCATGTAATTAAGATTTAAAATATTCTTGCATCATTAATTCATTTAGTCTTTTTTATGATAACCATTATTGTATCAAACCTCAATAAAACTTATTATATAGCAATATTTTTTTTTATCTTCCACTTTTTTTAAATATGATTTATAAATATTTGGTAAATTAATTTAAATGTTAACTTTTATTTTATAATGGTATTTTTTTATTTCTAAAAGTTTTTATTGAATTTGATTTTAATTATCACAATTTCAGATTACATCAGAAAATATTTAGACTCTTAATAATTTATTCACAAAAACAAAAAACATGAAATAAGACATTTTCAAATAATATTACTTAATATATAATCAATTATTCAATTAAGATTATCAGTATGTTTAATATAACTTATGAGCATATTCAATTCTTATTGATTTATTTTAGTCCTATTAAATAATACTGTTTTTGGTAATTAATCTATTGAATCCTTAATTTAATTTTTTATTATCTAATTCATTTTGATGATTTTTGGAAACTTTTTTCTTTCCTCTAACAAACATTCTTCATTTTTTTTATTAAATTTTCTATTATGCATTAATCCAATAACACTTGAAAGTAAATTTGTTACTTAAGTTGATTAAAAATAATATTCTTTTTTAAAAACTCCTTTCTTAAAAGTAGAAACACGTTTTTCAAAAATATGTGCTTTCGTTTATAATATGAGAACATTTAGTTGATTTAATAATACAAAAGAAATCAAATAAGCAATAAATATGATTAATAATGTTATGCATATAAAAATAATGAGATTGTAATAAGTTAAATTATTATACTCATCATTAATAAGAGACAATTAAAAATATTATAACATTTTCAAATAGTTAGTATTTTTTATAAGTAATAGAATATAAGGAGTTTTGTTTATTTTAGCAGTTTGAATGATGCTTTGATCATTTAATTTAGAATTATATCTACAAAGTATATCTGTATATTAATTGAAATCAACACAGCTGTTAGAATAATTTAATTTATGATGATAATTTATAATTTATTCAAAGTCTGTTTGATTGAAGCCAGAATAATTTTATTCTTATAAAGAAAATAAGGTTTAATTAGGATTATCATAAAGTTTACTATAAATAACCTATCCTTATAGATTAATAATAGTAATTGAGGTTTATTCATCTTAATACTTAAAAGTCTATGTTTAATTAAAACTAATATCTTTAGCAATAACTCCTTCTATTTTATCATTCAAACTTAACAAATTCTAAGTCATTGCAATACGTATTCCATCTTCACTTAGAAAAACTTTGTAAGGATTTCCATAAATTATTTATCTGGAGTCATTGCTATTGATTGTTTAATTTCGATGAAACGTATACCATGGTCTCGAATGTGGCTTAAATCCAGGTTTAAAATAAAATCCTTTATTTATGGTATAGAATTATGCGTAGTTTGAGTGACTAAAATATAAAGCTTATGTATTATCAATTGAGTTTCTAAATTATGTAAGAATTGATGTTATTTAATAAACAAATTTTAACTCTTTAATGTCTTCTTAAGTACAAGTTTCATTAAATATACCAAAACAGTATGATGAACTATAACTATATGAATCATTTATATTCTCCTTATTTAAGCATTACACAGGATCGACTATTGTAAACGAATTTTATTAGAAGTATTAATTAAATTTATTGATAATTGAAATATGTTGATCAGCAGAATTTAAGAGTGCTAGAATGTTATTCTTGTACATCCATACACGATTTAATTCTTATTTTGTTTATTTAATAAATATTTAATCTGCAGATTCTTATATGTTTCTTTAAACTAAAATTTAACCAACAATTATTATTGTAGTTAACAAGCCAAAAACTAAAATTAAACTAGCGATTTGAATTGTTAGAATTTAATGTCTGATTCTCCAGTTTTTATTGATGTACCAAAATTCTTTATTTATTAGTTCATTTAATATCATTTAATTAATAATCGAGTTTGTGTGAAAATAAGATATTTCTAAATGTTTTTTATTTCTAAAATATTTGATTAAAATAATATATTTTTTATAATTTGTTCAATTTTTAGAAATAATTTTTATTATCTGAATTAAAGATAAGATCTAAGGAAATAAATTTTTGTAATTTTATAAGCCTCATCTATTATAAATAATTACTTATTAATTTGATATTAAATTGCATTAGCTAATATTAATCAATGATTCAATTTTATAGTTATTTAGATTGAAACCTTTATTCAGTTAGAAATAAATTATCATTAATTTAAAAACTAAAATATTCAATATTCTATTTTTAGATTATCTCATAAAATAAGTTAAATTTTATATAAATAAAAACTGTAAATAGTAATAATAAAGTTACGACTTGTTAAGGATTAATTTCAAATTAATTAAATAAAACAATAACTAGCTAAGAGCATTAAACAGAATAAATGATTAAAAATTATTATTTAAACAGGTTTTAAAAGGTTTTATAAAATAATTACTAATATCAATTTTATTCATATAATTGCTGACTTAAATATGAGCAAAATTGTTCCACTTCCGATTAAATCAAGTGCTATCGTCATCAAGGAATTTGAGGATGACATCAGGCCTGTATGATAATATCATTAGGTTTAGAGTGACCCTATTAAGGCTAATGAATATATACATTAAAACATGTTTTACAAATAAGATGAAAATGGTTAACTAACTCCTTACGAGTTCACAGTAGGATTAGATGAGTTTAAAAAACATGGTTTAGGTTTATATTTGTACTTTAAATTTTTGGAATATGCTATTTATGTTTTCTTTGTAATGAGTATATTAGCTAGTGTAATATGTTATTTTAACTCAACAGGAAATGGGTTAGATGCCTGGAAGAACCTCAATATATTATAAGTAATATCAATATTTATAGTTAGAAATTAAGTATTGGAAACTAAAAGAAAATTGAAAGTAGCAGCGGAACTACTTATAGNACCAACAATTATTATTGTAGTTAACAAGCCAAAAACTAAAATTAAACTAGCGATTTGAATTGTTAGAATTTAATGTCTGATTCTCCAGTTTTTATTGATGTACCAAAATTCTTTATTTATTAGTTCATTTAATATCATTTAATTAATAATCGAGTTTGTGTGAAAATAAGATATTTCTAAATGTTTTTTATTTCTAAAATATTTGATTAAAATAATATATTTTTTATAATTTGTTCAATTTTTAGAAATAATTTTTATTATCTGAATTAAAGATAAGATCTAAGGAAATAAATTTTTGTAATTTTATAAGCCTCATCTATTATAAATAATTACTTATTAATTTGATATTAAATTGCATTAGCTAATATTAATCAATGATTCAATTTTATAGTTATTTAGATTGAAACCTTTATTCAGTTAGAAATAAATTATCATTAATTTAAAAACTAAAATATTCAATATTCTATTTTTAGATTATCTCATAAAATAAGTTAAATTTTATATAAATAAAAACTGTAAATAGTAATAATAAAGTTACGACTTGTTAAGGATTAATTTCAAATTAATTAAATAAAACAATAACTAGCTAAGAGCATTAAACAGAATAAATGATTAAAAATTATTATTTAAACAGGTTTTAAAAGGTTTTATAAAATAATTACTAATATCAATTTTATTCATATAATTGCTGACTTAAATATGAGCAAAATTGTTCCACTTCCGATTAAATCAAGTGCTATCGTCATCAAGGAATTTGAGGATGACATCAGGCCTGTATGATAATATCATTAGGTTTAGAGTGACCCTATTAAGGCTAATGAATATATACATTAAAACATGTTTTACAAATAAGATGAAAATGGTTAACTAACTCCTTACGAGTTCACAGTAGGATTAGATGAGTTTAAAAAACATGGTTTAGGTTTATATTTGTACTTTAAATTTTTGGAATATGCTATTTATGTTTTCTTTGTAATGAGTATATTAGCTAGTGTAATATGTTATTTTAACTCAACAGGAAATGGGTTAGATGCCTGGAAGAACCTCAATATATTATAAGTAATATCAATATTTATAGTTAGAAATTAAGTATTGGAAACTAAAAGAAAATTGAAAGTAGCAGCGGAACTACTTATAGTACATCAGATATTTAATAATTTTATGATGATTCATAAACTTAACTTTCCACTTTAACATGGTTAGATTTCAGTTACACATTAATATTCATTCTGTTTTATTTAGTATTTTCGTATTGGTCTAATAGAGAAATTAGTGATTCTTTAATAAAAGAAAAAGTTCCAGCAAGTTTTTCAATAGGAGTATAGAAATTATAATAAATTAATAGATAAAAGGTCTAAGGGAAGATGAAAGAGACCCTAAGAATTTAAAAAGTTTTATAGAAGACTTAGGATTTAAAATAAAAGAAGTGAAATTTGCTAAAAATTATTCGAATACTTTATTACTTCATAAATAAGAAGCCGAATTAAAAGTTAAAATAAAAGCAGAGGAAATAAAAGAATAATATCCAGAGTAAGAATAATAATTAAATTCAGGTATGATCCAAAAATGAAATAATAATATTTGAAAGAACTTTAAGAGATATAAGGTGAAAGAGAAAGGATTATAAATAATAATATAGGTAAAAGATTGAAACATGATGAATATCCTACCTTGATGGCATTTGTGATATTCTAAAGAATTGGAGATAAAAATTTATTTATAAAAGAATACTAAGCAAATACAAATTTGGGTTTATTTTAAAGTTTTTGTTGTGGTAAAAAAGTAGATGAAAAATATTTGTATAAAGGGAATATTTTAAAAATAATTCCTTAAGTAGATAATCCAAGTAATATAAATTGGGAAAACCTTGAAGTTTCTTCATCAAATAGATTCTTAAGATAAATAATAGTTGGTTTGGCAGTATTTTGTTTGATGATTATAACATTTTTTATTGTCTTTGCAATAAATGTTGTAAGTAAATACAGCCCAGAAGATTGTGAAATAAGAGATTATACATATGAAAATACTTAGAAATGGATAAATTAAGCATCAACAGCAAGTGACAAATCCTAAATATAATAATGTTTTTGTATGAATTTAAGTTTAACAACTTTATATGCGGATTATTTTGATTACTGTTATGATATAATCTATTAGTATACTGGTATATAAGCATTATAAATTGCATCTGCATTTGTTATTTTAATAGTGAATAGTTTATTGTAGTTATTAATAAAAAGTATTGTAAAATTTGAAAGATATTAGAGTTTAAGCAAAAAGTTATCAGGAACTTTGACTAAACTTTTTATATCCTTATTTGTTAATACTGCTTTAATAACATTAATTTTGAAAGCAAATATATATGGATTTCAATTATCTTATTATTTAAGTTCACCTATTCCACCTTTACAATAAGCATAATAAAAAGAAGTTTTCCCTTCAGATTTTAATAGAGAATGGTATGCAGTAGTAGGAGCAGCTTATGTAAATACTTGGATTATAAATATATTTTCTCCATATTTTATTGATTTTGTACTTTATCCAATAAAAAATTGGTTGAGAAAGAGAGAAGCAGCTGGTGCAAAAATATAGAGAGATTTGAATAGATTATCTGTTGGACCAGAATTTAATCTCGATTTATACTATGCAAATTTGCTTAACACTATATTTGTTACTTTATTTTACTGTTCTCTAATTCCTTTAATGTTACCATTAGGATTTTTAGCTTTATTAATGCATTTTTTAGTATAGAAGTATTTACTTCTTAAATACTATCGTAAACCACCTTCATATGATGAAGCAATACATGATTCAGTATTTACATTACTTCCATATTCTATTATTATGCATATTTTAATAGCAATATGGTCTTATGGTCATCCTTACATATTTCCTTCATCATCTGATTCTCTAGTAGATAATGGGGGATTTTTAGATGTTTCTAAAGATTCAGTTTGGATTAGAATACTAAACTCACAATAAATATCAATTTTAGGTGCTGTATTCCTTATAATTCTAATTATTAAATACTTCTTAATTAATCCATTGTAATATTTATTTAAAATATGTTGTGATTCAGGACCTATGGTATTTTATTAATTATATAAAAGGTCGTTGATTTTGTTTAAGAGGAAACTTATGATTAAATTTATGAACAATTATCATCTATATAATTGGCTACTTATGAAATTAGAGATAATGAAAATTATAAAGATTTAGTCAGGTCTTTAGATTAAGATCAGAGATCCCTTTCTCAGAAAAATAATTAAGAAGAAAGGGTACCACTTCAAGATTTATGATTTATTCAATATATAATCTTAATGTAAATTCATTTAATTTTCATACTAGTATTTCTAAAAAAATCAGATAATTTTTTATTAGATTTTTCATATATATCTGAAAAGTTCTACAGATGTTTTACTTCTAATTTGAAAGAAGGTTCAGATTTTACAACTTAATTTTTTCTATTTTATCTACAAATAATTCTATTTGATGGTTATTTTAATAGATTTTATGAAAAGTTTTATACTGGTATTGAAGGAAGTAATTTAAGTTGAATAGTCTATTAACTTTACTACTTTGTTGAATCAATACTTTAAAGAGTAAAAGTTCTTAAATGAGTTTATGTAGATATTTTTTCATTTTTTATTTTTCTACTCATCTAATGTAAATGAGCAAATATAGGTTAATTAGGAAGATTTGTTTTTTTATTTGGAATTTGAGATTCAATTGTATTAAGATATCTTCTCAGATTATTAGAAGTTGGAGTTAATGCATTAGATTCTTTTGTCATTTGACTATTAAATATTTATTTAGATGCTTAAGATGTAACATGAGTACTATTTGTAGTTATACTAGATTTTAGTTTCATTTCTGGAGTTGTTGGAGCTTCTGATATTTCATCAAATTAATGTTCAATCTATTTTATTTTATTCTCTATAACTTCCTTTTTCCATTCTTTAAATTTATATTCATATTATGTCATATGCTTATCAATAATTTCTTAAATGTGATACTTCTTAGCTAAACTCTTTGCTTAAACACTAGATTCCTTTACAGTTCTACACTCTATTATTATATCCTGTATTACTCTAAATAAATGTTAAGTAGCTGATCTTAATTCACAATGAGCCATATCATACCCTTCTATTTAAATTATTTTTATCACTTACTATTCATTTAAATTAACATTATAATTTCTTATTAATAAAGAAAGATCTTATAAACTAAAAAATTATTATAAGAAAATATCTTAATTTATTAATTAAGACACTTTTTAAATTGATTATGGACTCAATTGTGGCAATATTTGCTCTATAGATTGTTTTTATTAAGGTTGTATCATGGTTTTTTCACGTAATGCTTTTTCTTCTATATGATCATATATAGCATTTAAAAATTAATTTGAATTTCTAATACTTGGGTCTTTTGCTATTAATTTTATTTTATATTATTTTTCCAACTATTACATTACTTGAGATAATTAAATAAACATTTTATTATATGTCCATTTTAAATAAAACCTAATATTAATAATAATTAATTACTCATGTCCAAACATATCAGAATTACATGATTTTAAAATTTCTTTTATGTTGTACAAAGAATTTAATATTCTAGAAAGAACAGTTGTAAGCATAGTAAAAATTCTCACAAAAAAATATTTATTATTTGATAAATGTCTAATTTGAATATTTTTGAGATATTATGCCATTTCATGCTATTATTCATCTATTTATGGAGCTACAGATTCAGGTTCATCTAATTCATAAAATTATAATTAATTTAAGAATAATAAATGATTTATCAACTAACCTTTTTATAACAATAAATCTTCATATCTATTTCTTAAAGTTCCATCTTGAAATTATAATTTTCTATAAACTTAAATCAATTAATTGATGGAAGAATTTAAATCATTATCATGAAATTTAAAAAATATCTTCATTCTAGAAGATACTCCACTAAATCTTGCCCTATCTATATATTCTTAGAGAGAGGCTGCTAATTATAATCTTGAAAATGGTTATCTTAATTGCCATCTAACATGCTATAAAATTTCATCAAGTTCAAAATCATTTGGGCTTTCTAATACAAAAATTAATCTCAATTTATCAATATCATCAAATTCTTCTAATAATTCAGCACATTCTTCAATTTTATGAAACTTTGTTTTAATTTCATCATCTAATTGATTAATAAAATCACTTGTTTATTCATATTTTAATAATAAAGACATCTCTTAATCTTCTTGTTCGAGTAGTTCTTTTAATTTTTATTCTGTAACTGTAGAAGATTTTTCTGCTTTATATTTTAATTTTTCAATTTTTTAAGTCTACCATTCCTTTTCTAATTTCATTGCTTTTTTAATGGTTCCAATATAATGAACAAAAAGTTATAACTGTTATTTGTTTTCAATCTCTTTTAAATGTATTTTAGGTTCATTCTGAGTGTATAATTCAATTTACTCTTTCATTAAATTATTTTATTTTTCGATAATTCTCACTGAATGTTCAATCTAATCAATTCTTTTTTCTAAATTCTATTAGCAATCAATTTCCTTATCAATTTCATTTTATAAATCTATCTCTGGAATAATAAAAGTTTATTCATTCTTTATCTAAAAATCTTCTTATATTAATTATTTTTTTTTATTATTTATGTAAGTTAGATCAGCAATGATTTTCTAATATCCTGCTATATCAACATCATCATTATTCTATTAATTCTCTTAACTCATTTCATATAAAAGTTCTTATTTACGTTGTTCTAGTTTTTGATCAACGATCTTCATTACTAATTTTTAGTACTTGAGTTTTTGGTTAAAGCAATCTTAATGCAGCTAATTGCTCTCTTAAAACATTATCAATGCTCTCCTTATGTAAAAAGATACTAGTTTTAGTTTTGGTTACTACTCTTCTAAATGAATTCATTTAATTATTGAAGTTTCGTAAATTCAATAAATAAAATATATATAAAGTGTCTTAAATTATATTAAATAGAGTGATTGTCAAAAAAAAGAATGTTTTTTTACAATTTATATTATTTTCAATAAGTGTTTTCAAGGAATTTATTGAATCCTTTGTTATGTACCCTAAATTATATATATTTAATAAAATACCCAAATAATTAAATCTTTGTATAATTTTTATATTTAATTTCTAATGGTATATCAGAATTATTCTCATCCATCCAATCTTAATATTATGAGTTCTACTAAACACTATTTCTTTCCCATTTTGGAAATAGAGAAGGTTTTTCTATTTCAATTTAAGATGGTAAATATTTGATTTTCATTGAACTAAAAGATCCAACGTTAGAATTTGAAGATGAATTCGAAAAATGTCTTAAATCACTTCTTTAACCTGGTTTTTTATTTGGATCAGGAGGTTATAACAAATGTTACTAAGATGTTGGAAACTATATATAAGAATAATTTACTTTACTTGTCCATGTTATGGTTAGTCATTAATTGTCCATATTATTTAATGAGTTAATTTTGATGAACTTTTCATAATATGTCCAGGAGAATGCTCTTTTATTTTATTAAATTCAAATGATCTTTTAGATTCAAGGGAACTCATTTTTTTAGTTGATTTCATAAAGCCTTCTGTCCAATCATAAATTCCATCTAATAAAAATTAATTATTTTCAGCTATCTAATTCAGCTATTACAAAATGTATTAATAATTAGGTTCATCTGTAAAATTCAAACTCTTTAAATGTTATAAGATTTCAACTAATTCATGAGGTTAATTAGCACATAAATCATTAAGATCAATTTTTTATTTTATATCTCCAACTGCTTTTGTTCTTTCATTTTCTGAGACAGGTAAATTTTACCATGGTAAACTTCCACGAAGAAAATAAAGAATAACATAAAATAAAGATTCTATATCATCCTTCCTTGATATTTCATATCCCATATGTGCTGCAATTGATGCATATCTCGGTGTACCTATAAATGTTTTATCTTTACGAAATGGCCTAAAAGATTTAAATTTTGAACAAAATGTACATATGTTCACCCTAAACGCAATAAACCTTACTAATACCAAAGTCAACAATATATAGACTTTCATTATCTTTCGACATCAATATATTTTCAGGTTTCAAATCTCGATGAATCACATTTCTATTATGTATATTTCTTAGTATTGAAACACAGTCATAAGCAATCTATATCGAGCATTTTAAACTGAATTTTTTTTATTATCTAAAATAAAATGAGAGATCTCTCCCTAATAATTGTATAACCATTAAATTAAATTCATCTTCTGCTCCAAACCAAATTAATTTTGGAATTCCCTCTGCTTCATTCAACTATTTCAATATTTCAACCTCTCTTTCCAAAGATCTCATCTCTTCATTATCTTCTTTTTCTAATTTTAGTGCATGTTCTTAGTTTGTTTATTTATCTAAAACTAAAAAAACCACACCAAAAGCTCCTGAAGAAATCTTCTTTTTCACTTAAAATCTATTCACAAATATTTTTTATTAGGCATTCTAGCTCATTTTAAAAAAATAAATATATATATATTTTATAATATTGTATAAAATAAATTATTTTTTATCAAAAAATTATATATTTAAGTCTAAAGTTTATTTTCTATAATTAATCTTTTCTAATTTTAAAAATCTATAGTTTAAACACAAATATAGTAACGGGAAACTAAATTAATCATCTAATTTCGAAATCATTCAAAATATTCCATTTAAATCACGAAAATATTTAATCATTCTTTTTTTTATTATAAAAAAATATTTAACGAAAACCATTAAATTTTTCAATATGGATTATATAAATATTTTTTTTTCAATTTAAAACAATTTGTTTTACTCTTACAAAAGTCTAGAATATTATTCATTATACTATTAATTTTATTCAATATAAAATTTATTTATTAATTAATTAATAGAATATAAATAAAACAAACTAAAATTTACTAAAAAATTTGTACTAAATTTTTGCTTATTTTAAAAGTAATTATATTTTTAACCAAAAGAGAGAGATTAAATGTAAGAAAGTGCCATTGTTTGTCGTTATTGCAAAAATCAAGCCTATTTTGATTCAAAATCATCAACTAGTTTTTGTAAATCGTAACGATGTTAGGGAGCTGTTATTGAATTTGGAAAAATTACTTATGAAAATGAGGTTAATTTATATGAAGTTGATGAGCCAGGAAAAAAGTAAACAAGATTTGGAGGATATGAAAATAAAAGAGAAGCTTTTAAGAATTAACTTTGTGAAATGTTAGGAAAAAAAGATTCTAAATAGAGAAAATAATTTTGCGAAAAATTTGAAGCTGGAGAACATTTAATATAAAAATTTTCAAGTATATTCAGAATGAATGAAGCCTTAACAAAAGATGCTATTTCTAAATATAGAAGTTTAATTTTTGATAATGCATAAGCTGTATAACACAATATAAATTATTTAGGTTGCCAGTAAAAGCTTTTAAGCCTTAGCTGTAGTGGCCTATAATTTAACAATATAAGTAAGGTAAAGTTAGTAAAACTCTAACTAAAAATTGAACAAAATTAATCTAAATGTAATGTTAAAATTTTGCGATATTTCGTAATAATAATTAGAATAAATTACTAAGGCTTTAGATATAAAAGTAAATTTTTATAAAATATTTTTATAGAATTTTGCTGGTTCAGGAAGACAACATATATACTAAGAAATTCTATAAACAATTAAAGACCATAGATTACCATTTAATGAATATGAAGTTATGGGAGCTTTTGATATTCCTTATAACCTTATGGAAAATAATGTAATTAAAGGTGAAAGGCAATCAACAATTACTTGGTAATTATTCTAAATTGAATTTAGTGTTGTTGAATATTTGTTAGCTTAATTATCTTGCAATCCTGATTTAAATAACAAAACCCTTGATTATTTTGCATAATTGAATGAAGTTTCAAGAGATACAGCCAAAAGATTATGGAATATCATCATTGATAATTAACTCTTACCATCGTTGATTTCTTATTGGTAAGGATAAAGACCAATATCAGTACTCCATCATATTTATTGATAAATTATTTTATTTTTTTTAAGCAGAGAACATGAATTTTTTAAGAATAAATATACCTCTTGATTAAATTAAAATAATAAAAAAAAATTAAATAAATACAAAATTTCATTTTTTTAATAATTTTAACAAAATATACTGAATGAGTTATCATATAGCTTCAAATCCAATGATTAAATAACTTTGTTAAAGTCATCCAACAGAACAATTCACAAACTTTTGCTAAAATCCTGAATGTTTAAAACCTTTATGTCCAGAATGTATTGAATCTCATACTAAATACCATTAACAAGTTTAAACAAGTGCTGATATTGATAGCTTTAAAAATGTGAAATAATAGTGTTTGAGAAAGGTTAGCACTGGGATATAAGAAATTCAAAAAATTATCTAAGATGCTGATTAATATGGATTAAATGATGATGATGATTAAACAATTAAAGAAATTCGAAAAGGAAAGGAAATAGCTATTACTTTAGTAACATAACATTTTTCTGCCTTAGAAGAATAATATAAATAATATTTAGAATAACAATCAAATCAAGTATAAACATTTAATCAATTGTAAGAAAGCATTAAATATACAATGAATGAGTTAGAACATCTGAATGTTGGTTTAGAAAGTTCTAATTTAATACTATTTATTAAAAAAATCTGCGCAATGGATTTAAAGAAAACTTTATTAAAATACAAAAAAACAATGAAAAATTTATAAAATAAATCAGCAATTCAACAAGTAATGGTTTAACTAAACTAAGCAAATTTATAACATGTTCAAACAGCTTTAAATAATTATGCTAAACTAGATTTTATTCCATTTTAAAATACAATATTCCTAAGTCAAAGCCATGTTTCTCAATTTTAAGAAACTTATTTGTAATAAAATGAGTACTTTAGAAGTAAATATAAATTACTCCACTTTTTTGAAACTGGAAAATCAACCTTATGGCTATATGACTTAAGTTTACCAGACTAAATTTGGAGACCAGTTTAAATATCAAATTACATTGATGTGCTGCCATATTCTAAATCAATAATGACTCCTGATGGTTAAATTTATTTAACTGGAGGTTCTCTTCAAAATAATAAAAAAAGCGGAAAAATTTATTAATTTAATTTTTAAAATTATTAATTATAAGAAGTAGGATAATTGACATATGGAAGAAGTTCTCATGGAATAACATGGAAAAATAATGAATTGTATTTAATTGGAGGTTATCTTGATAATTTAGTCATTACTTAAAATTGCGAAGTTTTTGATTGTATAAATAGAAGAATAAGAAGATTGCCAAATTTAAATAATGCTATAGCATCACCAAGTGTTTGTATTTTTAATGATGCAATTACAGTCGCAGGAGGATTAAGTATGATTAATAATTATGAATATAGTTTAGAACTTAAAAATTAATCAATAAATTGAATTTTTAATGATTGATAGATGGGTTCCTTGCATAATTACATCATAATTGCACTTGGCTTCAATGATGTGCACAATTTAAATTGAATATAATTAATTAATGATATTTGGAGGATATTATGAAAACAATAAGGGATCTAAAGAATGTGTTATATTAGAAATTAATGAAACAACAGCTAAGGTATTGGAAACAAAATAACTTCCATAAGCCGAAGGTTTTTGGAATAATAATCCTTTGATTTATTCAGGTAGAATTTGGGCCTTACAAAATGTTGCTTAAGACATTCATGGAAATTGCTCATTTGATTAAAGAAGAATATTAGTATTTGATGGGTCAAATTGGAAATAGCCATGATATATGTATTTTATTTAAATTTCAGTTATATAAAAATTCAAATTGTAAATTTACTCAATCAATTATACCATTAAAACGATTTAAGCATCAATACTATTTAAACTAAAATCTTGATCAAATTAAGAACTATTTCTATAATTTTATTTTCTCTTTATTTATTTTTCATATATCAAATTTTGATGATTTTACTATGAATAACATTTACAAATCAATTAAAAGCTATAGATTATTTAAATAAATATCAAAAAATTAACTGTAAATCAGATATTTTTTAACATAAAATAATTTTATTAAAATTATGTTGATTTAAAAATCTTTTCAATAAATTTAAAGTATTTAAAAAATAGAATCATGAAAAATAATCATCCTAAATCATTAATATCATCTTAAAGAAATAATATGTAATGATTATAAATTATGTTTCATAAAATTAGATGAATAATTATTTTGTTACTTGCCCTAAAAAAATTTTGAAAGCTTTTCAATTGATTGAACTGATATGAAAAATGGCTCTATTTTTATATTAATAATGATTTAACTGTAATTTTATTTAAATAAATAGAATTTTATTAATTTAACAAGATAAATTAAGATAATATTTAAATCTTCTTAGGAAACCTTCATTGAATTGAAATAAATTTAAAAAGGTTCAAGATGTTTAGGTGTTGAAATTTTCTGAAATTCTTCTCATTATCATTTTTGTATAAGCATTTAATAAAAAGGAAAAAAGAAAGTGAAGAGTATTGATGTACAATATAAATTAAAATTAGATAATTCTACAATAATAATAATCAAAAAGTAAATAAATCATAGGTTCTGAAGTGTTTTTTAGAATTTAAGGTTATTTGAATACTTATTTAAATTATTAAGTAAATAAGTATAATCAATCTAAGATCTTTTTTTCTTTCAGAATTGATGATTTAGCTTTTTTTCTCATTTTAATAAGAAAATTATAAAAATAGTTGAAAATGTTTTTAGAGTATTGAATGAATTTGAATATTATATCGTAATTTTAGAATCCTATATACCTTTAGTTTGAAAGACTTTGTAATAATAATGATATTTGCCTGAATACTTATTCATAATAATTGATTTATTTATTTATTAATGTATATATAATTACTGTTCAATCAAATCATTCTCTTGACAAGATCATTGATGAGATCTTCTCTATTTCCCCAATCTCCTTAATTAATGAATGATCTTCTCTTTGCAATGAATCCTCCTCTTGGTCCTCTCAATTTGAAAGCCCTAAAAATAAATGAAAAGATTACCACAAAAATCTATTTGCTTCTTTAAAGTGAGGTCCTACAGTAGTAATTTCATGGATGAGATCTTCAACGCAATGAATACCAAATTTTCCTAATTATTATTCAACAACATTATTATTTGTGATTGGTATTCTTTGACCATTAACTTTGGCATATCCTCTTTTGTATACAAGATTTTTGATAACTGTTCTTGATGGGTATCCATAGGTAACATATGGTTCAACTTTTCTGATCATTTCAATTGTAGCCTTATTAACTCTAACAAAGGCTGCATTATGAAGTTATCTTAATTTTAAGAGTCTTAAGGTTTATCTAACCTGAGGATTCAAAGTGTTGATACTTTTATTACTTAAATAAATCATACCCTCTGATTCTGACCACCAAAATCAATTTAGCTTCAGCTGGAACATAGAATCCACCTTCACTCTTAGCTTTACGAATGTTATCGACTAAGCTCTTTTCTGTAGCTTTATATTCTGCTTCATAAGCTTAACCATTTTTTTCCCATTAAGATCTTCTAGTTTTATTTGCAGCCAATCTCTCTGTTCTTCTTTTAGCAACAGCTTCTCTCAATTTAGTATCTCTTACAGTCTTTTTAGCCACATTTTCTGGAACCTTTTATCTACATTATCAATACAACAACTTACTCAACTTGCATTTGTTGCTTCTTTTAGGACATTTTAAACAAAATAAAATCTTAAATTTTAAAATCAAATCAACTAAAATATATTATCCTAATCTACTCTCTCTTTTATACATCACTTCTAACTTTCTACATTTTTTTAACAAAAATCTAATACCCAAATAAAATACACATTATCAATCGTTCAAATAATGTATTCATTATTTAACATACTATTTAACGAAAAATAAAATAAAATTATGATAAAGTAAATAATATTAAAAGTAATCATTTCATTTTAGAGATTTCCTCTTTGCGCATGGACTTGGATTTGGAGTTGGCTTCTTTGAACCTATTGGACTCAAGCGATAGTTTGAATTTTTAGTAGATAAAACAGCTCTGTTAGGTTTTAATAATTAGCTATTTGATATAGTATCTCTTGCTGAATGTAAAACTAATTGAGTCTATTTAATTTGAGGTTCCTTAATACGAATTCTGTATTTCTCTGTGACAATCATTTCCTATTTAAACCATTAGTGATTCATTGCTTCTTTTACTGTTGGTCTTAGATCCTTAATTTCAAATAAACATTTTAAAAACATTTATCCTTACTCACTTATTTTTAAATTTTCAACATCTACTTAGCCTAGATAATTTTTTGTTATTGTTTCATTATAATCTCCTCCAAATGGTTCTTCCCCCGTTATTAAAATATACATAATTACTCCTACACTAAAAACATCTACTTTAAAATCATAAAATTCATCTCTTAAGATTTCTGGGGCTACAAAACCAGGGGTTCCACATCTTTAAAATAAATATTTCCCATCTTTATTGTAATAATCTGCCAAACCAAAATCTACTACACAAAATTTAGAGAGGTTTTATTTTCTTAAAATTATATTTTTTGGTTTAATATCTCTGTGTATTATACCAATTTTATGAAATGATAAAATTGCTTTAAATAATCTATATATAAAACTAGCTAACTATTTCTCGTTTAAAAAAGTATTTGGTTATTTTAAATAATCCTGTAAATCTCCTCCTTCTAATAATTCCATCACTACATATATATTATTTTCATTCTCAAATACTTCATAAAGATGAATTATATTTTCATTTTATACTTGTCTCAAAATCGATATTTCTTTTAAAAGAGCTATTTTATCTTAACGATTTGTTAATTTATATTTTTAATATTATTTAACTGCAAATTTTTCATCTCCCAACTAATATCTACAGCTGTAAACCTAAATAGAATTATAAATACTTCAGCTTAATTTCCTTTGCCTATTTTTTCAATTATTTTGTATGTATTTGCGAAACCTTATTATATACACCATCTTTTCATATAATTGAACCAAATTTCTATTTCTCCATATAAAATTAGTGTATTCCCTTTACTTATTGCTATACCTTCTCCAAGTATTTTATCTCTTGTTATCTCGATAAAGGAATTTTCGTAATTTATCCATTTGATTGGTCCCTTTATAAGATTTAAGAATACTTTTTTTGTTTAACATCCTAAAATATTTTGTATCAAAATGAATTTTTTCATTTTACAAGATTTAGAATATGATGGAATAAACTCTTCATCTAAAGCACCATTTTTAGACATTATTGGCATCGGCTGATAACTCCAAGTAAATTATTTTTAATTGCTATGAAAAATTGATTCTTTAAACATATTTTATATTTTAATTCACTGAATATTTTTATTTATTGTTTGATTACTATGCACTATTAATGTTTAAATATTTTCTATTTATAAAGTAATTTTATTTTGATTCATTTATTTAAGATAAACAATTTGCTAAACAATTTTTCAATTTAGGAAAAATAAATTTTTAATCAAAAAAAATGAAACATTTTTTCTATAAGCTAGAATAAGACTTCTTTAATATCTTTAATTATCTTTGAATTTCATTCAGACACCACAATAAAGTGAATTGTAAGACTTCACAAATCATTTAAGGCATCATGGGTGACAAAAAGATCTTAAAATATTGCCCAACCATTTTTTGGATTATCAGGTATTCTATATTTAAAAAATTAATAAATAATATATTTTTGTAAAGGTATATTAATTTATTTCAATACGATTAGAATTTAATTCAATAAATTAACTTTAACCAAAATAATAGAAGGCGATAAAGATGTTTTGATAACAACAAAGTAATTTTTTTTTTCTCTTCAATACTTTAAAGATATATTGTTATTATTAAAATAATCATTCGTTGAATAGTTAAAATATCTGAGTTAATTATTAATAATGTATTAAAATAAGTGTAATTACCTGATTTGAGTTGGAATAAAAAAAATTAAGGCAGAAGATGTTAGTAAAAAATAAAGATAACTTGTAAATTAAGAAAATTAAATTCAACAATATTAATAATGGTTACACTAAAAGAGAAAAGAATGTTTTTTAAATTAAATAAAAAATTGGTTTTTTTACTATTTTATATTAAATTGAATATTAGAATGAATTGAGACTTATAGATAATAATATTATAATGAAAAAGTTTACGATAATACTAATTTTCGTTTTTGTGTAACTATGTAGTTGCAATAAATGTTCTGATTACTTTTAGGATGAAATCGGATGTATATCAAGTACTGGAATATCTTGTAGATGGAATGAATAGAATAATTAATGCCTAGATTCAACAGGTAAGTTGTTGGGATGTCAGAAATATTTAAATTTACAAGCATGTATATCTTAGACAATTTATCCTGATAAATCAATAGCTGAATGTAATTGAATAGTATAAATAATATAGGTATATTCAGTGGATATTGTAGAAAAGTAGTCGATGATGCATCAGAGTGTTAAAAAAATTTATCAAGAGCAGGATGTTTAGGAGTGGAAGATGCATATTGTATATGGAAAGATGGATGTTTTTCAATAACAGAAAGTGAAGCAATGACATTAGCTTAGGCAGCATCAATGACAGATGAATTGAAACTGTCATCATTAGCAGTCTGCAAATTAATTTATTATTTTCCAGGTATATATTTAAATAAAGATTAGCAATTCATCAACATGGAGCACATGAAGCATTATTAAAATTATATTTTGAGAATTTAACAACAGCAGGAGGTGAGAATAAGTTTGAATAATAATTGATGATTCCAGGATGCTTTTCACCAGCAGAAAATATTTATAAATAAATTAATTGTGATGCAGGAGGATTGAATTCATTAGGATGTATTTTAGTAGAAACAGATTATTGTATATTTAAAAATGGATTTTGTTAAAAAGTGAGTGATTTTACCTAATTACAATGTAGTGATAAATTAAACAAATTAGCATGTTTATCAGTAACAAATTTTAAAGAGACCTGTTATTGGACAGGTAGTTAATGTACAACATATTTAGTATCAAAAGAAAGTGCTTGTGATATATATTAATAAGTAAATAAGTTTTAAAATATAATTTTAGGTATCTCCAAGTGTTTGTGCAAATATAATAAAAGAAGGTGAAGCATGTTTTTATGATGATTTTACAATGAAGTGTGATAAAATGTGTAAATCTAAAAGTTTAAACAGTTCTTCAAAGTGTGAATTGTCTAAATATGGATGTGTTTGGTACGATTATGGTGAAGGTTATTGCAAATTTAAAAATAATGAATGTAATAGAAAAGGATAAAATTACATATCATGTATGACAGCAGATGATTTTTGTCTATATTAAAATGGACATTGTTTATCTATAGAAAACTTAAATCTCTTAGGATGTACAGGAGGCTTAAACAGATTAGCTTGCATAAACTTATCTAATCCAAGTTAAGTATGTTAATTTTAAGATGGAAAATGCATTGAAATTTATATAACTCCAGAAGATCTTCCATAATATCTTGAGAATGTAAATCCTAATGCTTGTAGAAAGATAACAACAATTGCTAGTTACTGGAATAATGGTAAATGTTCTCCAGCAGATGGAAATGAATAATGTTCTGTTTCAGGTTATAATAAATTAGGATGTTTAAATACAAGTAATACAATGTCTCCTTGTTAATGGAATGGGGAATCAGGTAGATGTCAACCTTTAGTAATAACTAGATAAACTAAATGCAATTCTTTAAGATTAGTAAATGCAGTTGCTTGCAGAGCTATTAAAGAAGAAGATGAAACTGGAAATTTATTAATGTGTAAATACAACATAAATTCAACATCATGTGAAAAGGTAACAGTATTATCTTCTATTAATTGTGAAACTGAAGGTTTAAATGAAACAGCATGTAGTTCAGTTTCTGATCCTTTACAAAGTTGTAGATGGTCATCAAATCAATGTGTAAAAGTAACTACTTTAGGAAATGCTATTACATGTTAATCTCTCTAATCAGTTACTTAAAGAACTTGTGCAATGATTTAATCAAATAAATAGAGATGTTTATATGATTCATCAAGAAAAAGTTGTACTACACAAGTACCACCTACTACAACTTGTACTGCTGCTGGTCTCAATCCTTATGGATGTGCATTTGTTAGTTCCAAATGCCATTTCAATACTACTACGAATGAATGTAAAGCAACATAGGAATCTGATTATGCTACCATTAGTTGTGATACTAATTTCCCATCAAAAACCAGTTGCGTTTTAATTACAAAAGCTAATTAATATTGTAGATGGAAATCAAAAGATTATGTTTGTGAATTATATACTTTCCCTGCCTCTGATTCTTGTACTAAATATACAAATGTTAATAAATTATTTTGTTTGGCATTTGAAGTTACTCTTTAAAGATTAATAGATTAGAGTTATTACTGTATTTATGATTCAGCAAGTAGTTCTTGTATTGAATATACAGGAGCTCTTACTGAATGGGCAGATTGTGGATCAACTTAAGAAATTAATATGCATGGTTGTGTTGCTCTATCTAGCACTAGTAAATATTGTTATTTTGATTAAACAACTTTAAAATGTTCAGAGATTACTGATGCTAACGATTCAAAATTTTCATCTCTTTTTTGTAAATAGGCAAATAAAAAATTATGTCTAAGTTTATCAACAACAGGATAATATTGTTAATGGGTAGAGTCAGAGAAAAAATGTTAATAAATAAAATCAGGTTAATCTTGTTCTGATTATGTAACTTTAACTGTCAATCCAAGTTTATGTGCAAGTACTCATAGTGATGAAGCTTGTGCATCTAATCTTGTAGATAATCATTGTAAAATTCTGGCTGCTGATGATATTACTTACGCTTGTTTAGATAAAGGATTAAATTAAAAGGCTTGTTTAAGTAATACAATAGGAGCTTGCTATTACAATACAGAGAAATTGAAATGTTTAGAAGTTTCTGGAGTAGAAGCCTTTTAAGTTGCATGTGATAGTTTAGTAAACAAATTAGGCTGTTTAGCCTCTTTAAAATACAATTGCAAATGGTTAGATAATAAATGCTAATATGCTTATGATCTTGATCCTTTTAATTCAGGTTGTAGTGATTTTTAAAGCTAACTTTACAATCCAAAAGTTTGCTAAACCATTTACAAAGAATACGAGTATTGTTAATATGATTCAACTAATTTCTATTGCACATCTTTTTCAGATCTAGTTTAAGATTGTAAGCCTGGATATAACTATTTCACATGTTCATTAAATGAATTATGCTAATGGGATTCGGCATAAGAAGTTTGTGTAAACAATACTTCTGAAAGTGATTTATGCAAAACACAATAAAACATAACTGATTGTCTTTCTGTCACTAATGATACATGTTCTTGGACTAATGCTGGTTAATGTAAAAAGATTGTTATTACTGAATATACAAAGTGTAGTTAAGTCACTTCATTATAAGGTAAGTTTGTTAAAAGAATTTGTCAATCTATTTACTTTGTTTCAGATAGCTGTTAATATGATAGTACTAATAAGGCTTGTGTTGAAGTTACTACAACTAACAATTCATGTACTACTATTGGACTCAATAGAACTGCTTGTTTAAATAAAACAATTGGATTTAAATGTAGATTTGAATCAGATAACACTAAAGATGATTATGGATGCTAAGAAGTTAGTGATTTTACTAATTAAGGTTGTTCAGATTCTTTAGATAGTGAAGCTTGTGCAGCTGTAACCATCTCTTAATGTGCTTTTGATTTAGCTCAAAATATTTGTTATGAATATTAACCATACTATTTAGAGTAATACTATACTTGTTCTCAATTTAGTACTGGATAGGTTGTTTCAATTAACCTTTGCAAATATGTCAAAGATGTAGCATGTCTCTATGATGCTCCTACCTAAACATGTAAAGTATCTAATGCATAGTTGGATTAATGTAAAACTAATGAAACCATTAATTCTATATACTGTTTAACTTTAATTAAAACTTAAACATGTGATTTTGATTTCAATTATGGAAATTTTTGTTATGAGGTTTCTACTACTTATTGGAGTTGCAGTGATTGCTCATCTTTTAAGTAATGTATTTCTAGTAGATATTAAATTTGTTAATGGAAAGACGATTCTTGCAATGAAATTACAGTTGATGTAACATGTAATGAATTATCAAATATTAATTCAAATGCTTGTATGAGTTTTAGTGGAAATACAAAATGTTAATACAAGTATGATGCTATTGCATAAACAACATCTTGTATATCTCCATCAGATGATCTTTAACCTTGTTAAGGATTAAATGAAGTAGCATGTATAGCCAATTAATTAAATTCATGTTATTTTTACTCATAATAATGCTATGATATAACAGAAAATCCTTATTAAGCTAGTTGCACAGATGAATTTTCATTTAATTATTAAGGATGCGTTAGAATAAAAAATTCAGATTAAAAATGCAAATGGGACACCAGCGTTAATAAATGTGTATCTATTTAAACTTCACCATCAGATAATTGTAGTGATTATGCAGATTCAAATTATTCTGCAACAATTTGTGCATCAATTTCAGCAGGAAATTGTATTTGGAATTCAGGATGTAAATCATAAGTAGCAACAAATTGTTAAACATTAGGTGCAAATAAAGGAGCATGTATTAATGCAACATCAGGAAATTGTGTATTTTCAGTAGGTGTGTGTATAGACGTGAGTAGTCCATCTAATTTCATTTAAAATAAATGTACAGATCCATCAAATAAAGCAGGATGTTTAAATATGAATAAAGGATAGAAATGTAAATGGGATGGTAGTACATGCATTGAAATTAATGTAACTGCAGGTTGTACAACCTATAGTGATGTAAATCCAGGTGTTTGTTAACATACAAGTGATGTAGCATGTAAATGGGAAGCCTCAAATTGTGCAGCTGTTACAGTTAAAGGGTTATGCAATGTAACTGGATTGAATAAATTAGCTTGTTTAAATTTCACTTCAGAAACATGTTATTTTAAGGTTGAAACAAATAGTTGCACTTAAATTAATCAATAAACTCTTAATACAGTAAATTGTACTGATAATTTAAATGAATTGGCATGTAAATCTCATGAATAATTATGTTGTAAATGGAATGCAGGATAATGTCAAGATGCAACAGCAGGATCAAGTTGTTCATTATTGGCTAATAATTCAGTAAATTGTTGTGTTGTATTGAATGGTGAGCCTTGTACAATGGGAACTACTTGTGCTAAATTGACAACTAAAGCTTCTTAATGTTCTGATGCCATAAATAAATTTGCATGTTTATGGGTATCTTCACCTTGTAGATGGGATAATATGATGTCAAAATGTAGATAAGTGACTAAAAGTTATGGATGTAAGCCGGATTTAAATATTGCTGGATGCGTTAATCAATCAATTCATTGCAAATATTTAAACAATCAATGTACAACAGCAAGCATTACTGATAACTGTGAAGATTTATAATACTCATCATTGTCTTCTACAAAATGTATTTTAATCTCAAATAGCAGATGTTAAGCCAGCAACGATGGATGCATAGTTCCAGCTTATAATGTTAAATGTATTGAAAATGTTAATAAACTTGGTTGTTTGGATAATACCAATTATTGTGTGTGGAATGATATTGCTATGACTTGTAATGGAAAGAGAGTATTGACAGCTTCAACAACTTGTGCAACTGGTTAAGTTAGCAGAGGATTATGCGCATTTTCGAAACTTTAATGCAAATCAGAAGAGGATTTTACATGCACAACTTTTACAAAAATAGATGATGAAGGGATTAGCTGTGATAAAAGAAATGCAGTCCTTTCCACAAATTATGCTTAGTGTTTGGCTTTAGAATTTGAGATTTGTTAATATGATTCAACAAAGTAGAGGTGTACTTCTACAATTTTTGGGTCAGTTTGTTCTTCTATTGTTACTAAAAAAGGATGCTAACTCATTAAAAACAATTGTTATTGGTCTAGTAATTAATGTGTATAATACGATGCTGATAAGTTTTTTAGTGCATGTGAATAAATCTACACAAAATATTAATGCTTAAAAAATATAAATACATCTTGTAAATGGGATGATTCTCTATATTAATGCAAAACTTATGAAGGATCAATTGTAACTTGTGCTGATCATACTGATTCAGAAATATCTCCAGGAATATGCTTTTATTTTTCATCTGATTATTGTGGTCATGATGGTACAAAATGTTTCCAAGATTCTCCTTAATCAGTTTGTGCGAATTCAAAGAGTCCTTTAGGATGTTAAGTGAATACTGCTGGAAATTGTTAATGGAGTATTGATACAGGTAAATGCTTGACATTAATGGATCCCAGCTAAGCATCTTTTATGACTTGTGTTTAATTGAAATATACAAAAAAAGAATTATGTACAGCTCCTATTATTGAAGGTTAAACTTGTCATTGGAAAGATAATCTATGTTAAAGTGCAAATATATAATAAGTTAAATGTAATGATGATCTAAGTCTGGATGGATGCAGAGCTGTTGCAATCATAGGTGAGTAATGTATATTTAAAACAAAATGTGAAAAAGCTGATCTTGATACAATAAAATGTGATGATTATATAAATATTCATTCATGTTTAGATGTTAAATTAGATGGTTAATACTGTAAATGGTTAGGTTAAAGATGTTCATCTTTAGAAAACGATGATGGTTATGGAATGTCATCTCATATTTTAATTAATTCTAATGTTTGTCGTAAAGCATATACAAAATCAGGTGCTCCTGAAGAAAAATTAGAAAGGATTGGGGTTAAATATGATTAAGAAAATTTCGTATGTAATTTATCAGATCCAGAAGAAGATTTATGTAGTACTCCAGGATTAAATTATTATGGATGTTTATTAACTTAAGCTGATGCCTGTGATTGGACAGGTAGTAAGTGTAAATCATTTGATTTCAATGTTTCATATACAAAATGTAATTAATATTAATCAGTATCACCAAAAGTTTGTGCTTCAATAATTACATCAAATTTAAAATGTTAACATAATCCAGACACTTTAAACTGCGAAGATTTTACAGAAACAACATAAATTTTTATAAAAAAAAAAGAAGTTGATGAATATTTTAACACTAAAAAGGGTATGAATCGTTTGGCATGTATAAGTGTTTCAAAATAACCAACAATATGGGTAGATGGAAAATGTTTATATAATTAAGTAAAAGTAGCTTTGATAACATGTGGATAATTACTAAATGTCAATCCTAAATCTTGTGCTTAGATTGATAAAGATAATGTAATCTGTAAATATGATAAAGATGGATCATGTACTGGATGGTTTGATGGTTAAGTTGATAAATGCAATACACTTGGATTAAATAGATTAGGTTGTGTTTCTGTTGAAAGAGAAATGTGTTAATTTTCAGAGGGATCTTGTCAAAAATATGAATTGTCAAATGTTATAAAATGTAATGAATTATAAAATGTAAATCCACTTGTTTGCAAAAATGTTATAAGTGAACCATGTAAATTTAGTTTTGTGAGTAGGGGATGTGTTTAATCATATTCAAATGATAAATGTTAATATGATGGTATTAATTAAATGGGATGTAACAAAATCTATTAATGTTAATGGGTTGATGATAGATGTTTTTGCAAGGGATTAGTATCATCTCTCTAAATAGTAGATTGTTCTAAATTTACATCAAATAATTGTTTCAATACTTAATGTATCAAAGATAATACTATTAATTTATGTAGAAATAAAAGATGCAGCGATCTTTCTCTTACTTCTTGTACTGGTACAATAGCTTAACAAACTTGTTATGTTAATCTTTAAAAATGTAGTTCAGCATCTAAATGTTCTGAATTATTTAATGTTGTAAATTGTAGTTCATATACAATTGGAGGTAAAAAATGTGCTTAAGATTTATGGAATGCTAATCATTGTGTTGAATAGACATGTTAACATCTCAATTAAGACTAATGTAGTGGTAATTGTTAATGGTCATATTTTTAATGTGTAATCAAAGAGTGTAATTATATGAATAAGGAACAATGTAATGGTATTATGAATAATAAGCAATGTTTTTGGGATGGCTCTTATTGCTAAGCTGTCTCTTCATGTTAAGATTATATCACCTATTCCAAATTAACTGATTCTACTCTTTAAGAAAAATTATGCATCTCTTCAACATTTCATTAAAGAAAATGTAAATGGTAGCTAGTTTAACCATATGGAACAGATTATTAATGTACATCCAAAATCTGTGCTGATAAAGGTAACAGTTAATCAACTTGTCATGGTCTTGAAGCAGATGGAGAAGTTTGTGTATTATTACCAGACTTTACTTGTGTTGCTTGTTCTGAAATTACAGATTCTTGTACATGTTTAAATATGAATGGGTATTGTTATTATAGTGAAACAAAAGGATGTCTCTCAAATTAATGTAGTGATCTTGATTAAAGTTCTTGTGGTATATTATTTTTTTAATTTATTTCTAGCTTAAGTTACTTCAAGATGTATCTATCATAATCAATAATGTAAGCCAGCTTGTTCTAAATTGAAAAATATTGATTGTTCTGTGAGAGAAGCTTTAAATGAATGTCATTGGAATGGAAATGTTATGAGATGTATTGATGGTCCTGCTCCTACTGTTAAATTAAATACAATGGAAGAGGTTATTGTAATTGAAAATTTAATTGCGAAGATTAACTCAGCCATAATCATACTGATAATGATATATTCTAATTGATATTTCGATATAAATTATTATCTGTTTATAATAATTCATTTCTAATTAAAAGATTATTTGTTACTCCTAATTCTATTTAATAAAGAATAATAATTTAAATATTGATCATTTTATAAAATTTATATCATTTTTTTTTTTTATTAGTTTATTATATTTTTTTCTTCACTTGCTTATATCTCATAGCAATTACGCATAGAATAATAAACAAAAAGACAATTATTATTACTAAAATTACCATCACCATATATTAAACATAATAAGGAGAATTATTTGGAGTTACCTAATAATCAAAACTTATTTACTTAAACATCGAAATCTATATTAAATTATATTTCAGGTTAAGTTATATTTTGAAATTACTAAACACAACTTATGTTTCTCATATTTTTGCAGAAATTTATTAAATTTTTATCTGTAGAATTATAATCAATTTCTGAGTTGATATCTTAACAATTTTTCAATTTGATTTAACAATCACTTAGATTAGGAAAAGGTGTATTGTCTAATATTATATAAGAGGCTGCATTCTAATAATTTTTATAAGAAGTATTTGAAATAATAAATGAACCTACCTAATCACTCTAACATCCTAAAAAACATAATGAGTTCATATTAGTAGCATTTTCAATTGCTTCTTTATAATTTAATTAAACACTCATAACTGCCTATATAAATTTTTAAACTAGAATTTAAAATTAACTCAAATTTTTAGGACAAGGCTAACATATATTTTTTACCATATTTTAACATTATTTTCCAGATCTTTCTGAAAAATGTATGTAGCAAACATAAAATTAATTGTATGGAGAATCAAAGACAAAAAAATCGAACTCATTTTTCGTAGGAGAACCTATAGTTAAATTAATTGTAGCAATTCCATCAACTATTGGGTATTAACTGTTTGATCCCATTCCAAAAGTATTTGGTATAAGTTATATAAATTATCCATATCTTAGACTGGCTCTAAGTGTTGAATTGAAGCGAACGTAGTCTTCACCTTAATTTGCTTATGCGATTTATAAAAATAATAAAAATAACATTAATTAAACTCATTAATTAAATAAAAGCATTGCTTATTTTCTTGAATAGTAATTATATGCCACCTCATATAATGATAAAAATCGAATAAAATAAGGACATGTAAAAGTTTTTAATTTCTAATGTATCACTGAATCATACTCTTGCATCCATCTTAAATAATAATAACATAATAATAGATTTTAATTTTGGCTTGAGCACATATATTTTTGTAATATATATTTTAAAACTTCAATTTTAGCATCTTCAGGTTGAATTATATTTTTAAAATGTGACAGTTAATTATTCGATCGCGATGATAAAAATATCTCCACAATTAATTGATCTAATTTTCCAATTAACTTAAATTTCATCCAAGGCATCTTACAATTAATTATTCCATCAATTATTCCAAAGGTTTATGAATAAGGCAATGCATTCCAATTATTTTCATAATATTTTTATTATTCCTCTATTTTTTATTCTATTGAATCCAATAAATCAAAGAAGTTTTCGCTCTATATATTTTCATTCATTTAAGGCATCAAACTTGAATCTAAATTAGAAGGAGATGTGCAATCGTTGCTAATTAAAGCAGATTTATTATTATAAACAATTGGCAAAGCATTAGATAATATAATCGATATTTAAGGTATGGATTTGAAAAGGTCTTTTTAATATATCTTACAAATAAATAATTGCCGATCTGTAAAAGCCTCTATATCATTGCCAAAGACCGAAGAAATAAAGGATCCATATGTATATTCAATAATAGTAGACCAAAGTTTAAACATGCAACTTAACTATTCTAAAATTAATTATGCCAATTGTTTATTCTCAAAAAATTGCCTCGTAATATTTTAATTATTTATTGAAAGTTATGTTATTTTTTTATCTGGAATTGATCGTTGCTAAACCCCAAAATTCTCAGAAAAACTTCTTTTAAAACAAACATTTCTCACAAGTTATGTACTGGTTTTAACATCTCCATAATTATATGAAGTTATTGATTTAAGTGGTGGTTGTTCATCTAAATCAAATAGCTCATTCAAAAATTAACTATAATGTAAGATAAGTTAATTGTAGAGATGCTTTTCCTTTTATTGCATGTCATATGAAATCTTTTTATAAATTATCTGCTGTTCAGCATCATCTGGATATTTTCCTTTAATCTTTATAAACATCTTTTTAGGGTACATATTTTTATACAATTCCTAGATATCATTTTCTATTATTTTCTAAAATTTCGAATAAGACTTTTGATACCTTATGGAATTTAATGAAATAAGTTTCAGTGCATGAATTGATAAATGCATTGTTATCTTTGATTAATTTTTCTTGAACCGATAGTCTTGATAGAGAAGCTCTAGCTATAGGAGCTTCAGATGTTTATTTCTCTTATGATGCACATTGATTACCCATTTTTATAATATAATAATATAGAATTTGTAGAAACATAAAAGATTAATATCACTCATTCAAATTAAATAAGCTCTTTGCTATTGTTATTGTTGGGAGAAATAATTTATTCCTCCAAATTACCATCCTTAAAATCAATTATTTAGCAAACCCCTTCTACTGACATTATTTAACAAAATTCTTCAAAGGTTATTTTTAAATTGTGATTTGGATTTATTTCATAGATCATTTAATTGATTTTTTCATCATTTATTGATTTACCATGTCTAGCAAATACTTCCTAGATATTTTACTTTGTGATATAATTCAAATTTTAATGATCAAAATATTTAAATAAAGAGAGCAACTAAATAATTAAATTAATTATACTTTTTCTTTTGTTAATATTCTTCTTTCATCAATACAAGCTGTTAAAAAATCGCTGTATTTAATAACTAACGGTTTGAATGATTTCCCTGAAGAGCATTCTTATGTTTCATCATCATTATTCATTCCTATAGCTATCATTAATTATTTTATCTCATTATGTGACACTTAAGAACCCTGAAAAAAATAAAATAAAATCTTCATACTTCATTAAGCAATGCTTTTTCTAATTCGTAATATGTGATTGTTCCAGAATTATCTTCATCTATCTTTTAGAAAAGTTTTTTTAGATGTTCTAATTCTTTCTCATTCATTTGATTAATTAAAATTTTCATAACTTCCTTTTTGAATCTTGCCCCTATTCTATAATTCTTTAATATTTCATAAATTGATCTTCCATCTTCAAAATAATCTGATGGAGCTATCCTTCTTTATATAAATGTTTTAGTTTTAGATCTAAAAAGATTATTATTCCTACTAGGAACTCCATCAAATTTCAGACTAAACCAAGAATCTTTTAAACACTCCTTTGCCGTTGGTCTCAAAAATGGGTTTTTACATAAAAGGCGTCTGATAAGACTTTTAATTTCTTTTGACAGATGATTCCAATGCCTACTATCAAAAATTAACTTTAGTTTATATATAATATTACATCCTATTATTAAATATGTTAAAATAATTATTTCTTATCGGTTGCATAAAATGGAGGATATCCACATAACATAGAAAAAATTACTATTCCAAAACTCCATAAATCACACTTCTCACTGTAATATCCATTAATTACTTCTGGAGCAACATATAATGGAGTTCCAACACAATTTAATGTTTTACTATAAATTACATTGAATAACTATTGAATACTTCTCTAATGATTCTTCTAATTTAATTGCCAAACCAAAATCAATAATTTTTGGTTCAGAATTCAAATCTTTTTAACTAAATAAAATGTTCTCTGGTTTAATGTCTCTATGAATTATTCCTTGTTCATGAATATATGCTATTGCTGATAGTAACTTCCTATAGAATATTTATCTATAACCTTGAAAGCAATTTATTAGGTTTATTTTTCAGTGAAGGCATTAGAATATTTTGGTATTCTTTCATGAAGCTCTCCTCCTGCACAATACTCCATACAGATGTAGAAATAAAGATTATTCTAATATACTTCATAAAATTTTATAATGTTCGGATGATCTAGTCTTTATAGAAAATATATTTCGTTGGCTAATTACGTTTCCTTTCCATTCATTTTTTCTTTCTCAATCATCTTTATAGCAAAAAGTTTCTCTGAATTAGTTTTCATTTTTGCAATTAGAACCTTTCCAAATACTCCCAGACCCATCATTTTACCAAAATTATAAATTTTATGGATATCTGTTGTGGATGTGAAAATAGTCACACCATTACTTGTTTTGATTGTTTCAATCTTATGAAGTTTATTTGACTTGACACAGCAACCCATTTTATTAAATTAATATACATATGACATCAAATTTACAGCTTTAGAACAAGAAATGATTTGATGGATTTTGATATATATATTAATAATGCAACTTGTAAAAAATTTCTAGTCTTCAACAAACTATAATCAGTAATTAACTATTGTAGTTAGTTTAAATAGATATTGAAGGGTTTTATAGTATTTGAAATATTTAATTTTTCAAAAATTAGTATAATAATAATAATAAAAATCATAAATTTTAAATAATTTTTATTGATGTTCACAAATAAAATTGTATTTTGGAAACCTAAGTGATAGTTGCTAAAATTGAATTCTATCATAATTAATATCTGGTGATGGTGAAGGATGGTTTATAAATTAGATTTTGAGATTAGACTATAGTCAAAACGATAATTTTTCAAAGAAGATAATTAGAAATTTTAAAAAGGAATTTGAATCGATGAATTATGGATTAGATTAATATTTAAATACACGAAATGATGTTTTAGAGAAGTTTCTAATGATTAATGTTTTATAGGAAATAGAATAATAATATATATTTAGTTTTATAGAAATAATAAAGTATTAATGGATCTATCGTATAGCGGTTAGTACCTGAGGCTCTAACCCTCAAGACCTTGGTTCGAATCCAAGTAGGTCCTATTTTTTTAATTAGATTTTTGAATAAAAAAATATAAGAAATATTTTTAATGTAAGAAGCATATGTATTACATGATCAATACAGGAATCAATCAATGTAGAATTATATTAGTGGGACAACTCGTCCTTTATATTTCAAAAGGCCTTTAGTGCCAACAATGAGTGATACTCCAATAAAATTGAGTTAACCTCCAGTATAATAAGTGAAAGAATAACCTCCTCCAGCAAAAGTGACAATAGAAAGAGTAATACAAATATACATTTCAATAGGTAAAAGATGTTGAAATTTAAACTGATTACAGAGAAGCAGAAGCTTAAACAGACCCATATACTCCAGCTCATGATTAGAATGAAGATTAAACTATAGAGATATTAGCATTATAACATCTAAAATGGGATAAAGGCTTGCCTGCTTCGATTGAAGAATTAGAGTCAATAGAATGGAATAGAGAAAAGGTTTGGTTTGAGAATGCATTACCTCCTATATCTGATGAAGCATCATTTAAATTGAGAAGAGTGTTAATGAAGTCATAAGAAGAACGAGAATGGAAGAAGAAAGAAACAGATATCAAAATGTAATTAGAATTATAATTTGTTTAAGAAATCAAAACGAGAGGTTATATTTATTGTAAGAGGCATTGAAAGAAAGAGAAAAGGATGTAGAAGAGAAGAATGCTCAAAGAATTGAAAGCATTAAAATAAAGAAGACAGAATTAAAGAATAGAATGGTAGCTAAGATATAAAAGAGAAAGATAAAAATACTTAGAAAAATGTAGAAAAGTAGAAAAGAAATAGATAATGAAGATAAAGGTAGAGAAATCATTGAAGATTATGCTAATTTTGCATCTAAGGTTTATGCTGGAATTACAAGGGAAGGATTAAGTTTAGATAAAATAGCTAGCAAATATGAAGTATAACCAGTTGCATTAAATACTTATAAAGGTTTAACAGAGTTATCTACTACAATTAAACCATCGATTTTAGAAACTACTGTTAATGTTGCTTAATTTATTAAAACTATTGAAAAAGATTATACAAGATTAGAAATATAACATAAAATGGAAGTTAATAAAGCAAGAAATTAAATATTTGGATCTAATAAATAAGATTAATCAAATGAAACTTAAGCTGATCATATTGGAAATAAGAATATTATAATTAGACCTGCTACTCCAACATATAATTAAGAATTTGAAAATGGTGGTGATGTTAAAAAATAAGACATCAAATTTGAAAATTATGAATAATTTAAAGAAGAAGCTGTCAAAAGATAATCAGAAGATAAAAAGAATTCAGCTCTTGTTTTATTATAAAGATTATTTAGAGGTAGAGCTATGTAGAACATTATGTATGAAGGAAAAGAAAAAGTAATTAATTCAATTTATATCAATCTAGAGAACAGCATTAATTGAGGAATTGTTAACTGTAGCTAAAATACCAGATTTACCAGAGGCTGAATAAGAAGAAATACTTATGTAATAACATGAAGAAAAAGTTAAGAATGCTGCATTAGAAGCTATTTAAGGAGAAGTTATTGCGGAAACATTAGATATGTTAAGCAAAGAATTACTTAGAATTAAATAAGAAAAAAGAATTGCTTAAATGGTCAAATCAGCTGAAGAAGATAGAAGATTAAGAGAAATTTAAGAAGCTGGTACAAGATAAGCAGAATAAATATTAAGAGATAGAGAAGATGTTTAATATAATTAAATTATGAGAGTTCATTAAGGAACTGTTGATACTTATTTACATTGGATATTTAAAAATACTATTGAATAAGGTATCTTTTTTATTAGATCTTTTTAGCTGCAACAAGATAAGCAACAATCATGACTAATTTAAGAAAATAAAAAATGAATACTCCTGTTGAATATTTTGAAAGAAAATATAATAGTGATGAAACTATTATTAAAGATTTAGTTCAATAATTCTTAATTCCTAATGTTCAAAGATCTAAACTATAAAAATAAAGTAATTATAATTATTATAATCTTAGTTCAAATTGAAGAGAGAAGATTTAATGAGGCTGCAAAAAAATCAATCCAGGCAACTTTGTCATCAGCAGCCTAATAGATTAATCAAAATTGATGATAAAATTATTAATTAAATATTTATTAAATTATACATCAAATTAGTTAGATACATAAAACTATTAAAATAGCCAAATTTTAGAAAATATTTATTCCAAATGAATTCTAGGGAGCATTAGTTGAGGCGTTAGGAGTATCATTACTTTTTGAAGAATTAGTAGGTCTATCTATTTATGTACATGAAACACATTATGAAATTATTGGATTCCAATAATAATTATATTATGTCATAATAAAACAAGTATTTTAATTGAAACCATTTAAATCTGTACTTTCAATACATTTCTTTTCTTTCGAACTCCAAGTACATAATGTTATGGTGTTTGCAGATTTATTAATAACAGGTTTACAACCTATGTAACTATTACTATTTAAATTTAATGATGAACAATCCATATAATTACATTAAGACTATTATAATGTTCCATTTACAAATGTTTGAGGAACAAAAATACAACCAAAATCCTTACAATTTTTTTCTAATAAATTTGCTTAACTACAACTATTCATTTCTAAACAAGTTGAAGTTTGGTTTATTTATTCTTACCATATACAAGTTTAATTCTATTTAGAAACATTATCATTGCATGAAGGTTAATTTATATAATTATTACAACTTTCAAAATTAATACAAACAGATTTTGTTGAATCATAAGCGCAACCTTTGACTTAACATATACTTTACTCTGTTATATCAGTATAATCTGTACAAATTTTTATTCTACATTAATTTTTATTATTATCATAAAAACAAATGGAATTGTTAAGTCCTATTTCACAACTCTCTTTTGTATATTTGTTACAATCTTATAAAGCAATGCAGTTTACACCATTACTTGTACAATTAAGTGATTCTTTTTAACATGCTTAATGAGTAGTCAAAATAGCATTTTCACATTTCCAAAGTGTACATGTAGAATTATTCCAAAAGCATCTTCCATTATAACCTCCAGCTTCACAGGAATCTTATTCTTTAATCATATCACATTCTATCTTTTCAACACAAGTTTCTTTATTTGTTGTACATTTAATGTTATATGCTTAACATTCTAAATGATTTTTGAGTTTTAAATCATTACATGATATAAATGTTTAACAAGCTTGTTTAATAGGATTATACCCACATTATTTATCATCAATACCAACTTTTTAATTACAAATAGCTTAAGTAAATTTTGGACAAGGTAATTTATGCTTACAAGTTTAACTCCCATCTGAAAAGCATTTATCACTTATACTTGAACATATAAGATTTTCTTTAGCAATTTCAATTTCAGTTTTAGGAATAGGATTACCTAATTCATCTTTTTTAATTGAAAATGAGAAGTCCTCACATTAATTAAATTTAATACACTTTTTTAAAATTTAATCCCAAATACATGCATTTCCTGATGAATCTGTAATACATAAAGTTCTTGATCTAAATGATGAACATAAATGAAATGATTTATCTTTACAACCACTAATATTATCAAATTCACAACTCTACCCAAAAGTTTCACAAACTTCTTGACTTCCTTATGTTTCTATCATATTGCATGTAGCCTAAACACAACTATTATCAATCCACATACAGAATCTTCCAGGTTCATTACTTAATGTTTATTCACAAGTAATTTAATTATCTATAGATTTACATTATTCAACAGCATTTTAACATTAATGTATTCTACTATTATATAAACAATTTTTAGTGTAAGCCTTACATGCTTATTCATTAGCTGTACTAGATTCTTAGCAATTTTTAACTTTACATTTTTCATTAGTTTGACTTTTACTTATTCCAGTACATTTACCATCAGAGCCAATCAATTTATCACACTATTAAAATGTACCACTATAAGTATCACAAGTTGATAATTTATCAGTACAACCTTATCCATTAGTTAAACATTTTGTTAGATATTGATCACATTCTTCATCTGTTTTAATAGAAGTGGGAGCAGTATTACAAGTTTTTTCTATACATTTTTCAGGATTATTAGGATCTTCTATACATGGTTATTTATTAGATGTAATGATAGTATCACATTTAGATGTATAATAATCACAAGATCTTAATGTTGCTACACAACTCTGTCCATCAAAGTTACAATTAGGATTTGTAGTTTAACAAGTAGATAAACTTGGTTATAATATTTATTCACAAGGAGTTGCCTAACAATTCTCAGAAGAATCATTATCTATACATTTCCCATCTTAACCTTTATATTTAAAACATCCATCTGATTTCTTATAGCTATTACATGATAGTAACTAAGTAGTACAAATCACTCCATTTGAAACACATATTCTAGACATATTTGTATCCTTTGATGAATATTTATTACATTATTCATCTGAATCATATTATTTATTTTGGCATTAATCTAAAATACAAGTTTTTGATTCTTC